TAAATTTCCAAAGTTTATAACAAGTAGGAGGCTAAACATCTAGTTCAGATAAACGAGAAACTACTACTGATGAAAACCATGAAAACGTGTCCCGAATTACAGTAGTGAATTTTTGATTTTATATTTCGGAACACATATTTTCAGCAGAGTCAGGCTATATTCCGAATTCAACTGGTCAGTACTGTCAGTTGATCCACTGACTCTGCTGAAAATCTGTGTTCCGAAATATAAAATCAAAAATTCACTACTGTAATTCAGGATTCAGGACACGTTTTCATGGTTTTCATCAGTAGTAGTTGCTCGTTTATCTGAACCAGATGTTTAGCCTCCTACTTGTTATAAATTTTGGAAATTTAATATTTAACATGGAAGAGAAATCGATTCTTGTATCCTCTATAGTTTCTACGACGATGGCGATTCAAGCTCGAGTGATGAAGAATTCTTGGACATTTTGTTGCCATGAATTTTTCATGATGCACCAGATTGAGAATTGAGAATCATGAAAATCGCAATATGCCTAAATAATGATGAATTCTAGGAGACATTCCAGGTTTATTTAGCCAATGCTGCTCCTTTCCTTATCTGCTCTACTACTTCATACTCCAGGTATTTTCTGATATTGAGAATCATTTCATCAACAACGAAAATGAATGTTACATTCCTTTCCCCTCTAAAATATGACAGTTCACTGAAGCCACACTACCTTTTGATACTCAGCAATTCCAGCAGAATGTTGAGTCGAAATATTTGGAATGAATAGTATGTCTGCTGACAAGCATCTGTCACTTCCAGTGAATTTTTTGATTTCGGAATGGAAAATCAGCAGATTCAGTACTGTCAGTTGAATTCGGAATATAGCCTTAGTGGATCAACTGACAGTACTGACCAGTTGAATTCGGAATATAGCCTGTATCTGCACTCTGCAGTAATCCTTGCGCTTGTTATGGCACTACATGACCATTTTTGCACTAGTGGCCAGCAGTAAACTTTTAGCCTCTACCAGGGTTCCTTGCAATGACCCGCGAAAATGTTGCCAGTAAATTTCAGTAAAATAGAAACGATAGAATAAACTGGGCAGTACTGTTAACAAATAATCCTCGTGGTGGTATAATCCTTCCTTGATGTGATCGAACGATTGTTTGTTGTTGCCGATAGATTCACTATTTCAATATTTTTTTAGCTCTCCGCCGGAAATTTTATGTAAAATTGTTTTTGTACGGATTATTTGTTGCGCCCGGTCTCTTTGCATCCTGTCTCTAGATGCCTAGAGCCTAGAGGTCTTGAATTCGTGCGGCACAGCCGGGGGGTTGATGAAGTTGGCATGTTTCATGTTCAGCCAGCTGGCAGGACTGTCGATATGGAGAGTTCTTTCTTGTGCACGAATATGAATATTTTTTATAAACCTATATATACAGGGTGTTTCTAAAGTTGGGCTGATTCTTGGAATGGGTAATAGGAGACGACGAAAAAACAAAACGAAACGAAAGATATACAGTCAAAATCATCTGGCATCTGATATGCCATCTGGAACTGTTGAACTGACTAATTTGCAAGATTGACAATGTTGGTGGCATCGGTGGCACAGTCGGAGGTTTTTATGTTTTTTGTGTTGCAAGAATGAGGGCTAACATTATTCATTGTCCACCAAAAAGCGCCCCTGAAACGTGAGGTCAGGGTTGATAGAACTGATAAATATACTTCTTATTTTCGAGTCATTTGGCATCTACCTACAATATCTTCTCCTCCGTCAATGTAGGAATTGGTCATTAAGCTCCACATTGAGAGTAAAAAGAACTTAAGTCGGCTCAAGTCTTTCGATAACTTGAGGTTTTCTATTTGATCAAATAATATTCTATATCAGTTTTTTCGATTATTTTCGATAAAACAGGCCATCGTCTTAAGGGCTATTCGGCAAAATTTTGGGATTTTCGACTTGACACTGACCTCACGTTTTAGCAGCGCCAACTGGTGAGAGTGAAAATGTCAGCCCTCATTCAAACAGCCAGGACTTTCGATATGGAGAGAGTTCTTTGCGCAGTTGCAGAAATTTATATATGAATTTTTTTTTCTGTGACGGGAAGAGAGTTTGAAGTTTCAGCTCTGTTGACAGGGTATAAAATGTCACTTTATAAATTACTTTTTTTCCACGGGATGAAAGTTTTCCCGGATATATATCACAAAACACTGTTTATGGTTTTCGTTGTGTTATAGTTTCGAAAAATAAGCCAATAACACCTGCAAGTCCTATTATCTTCCATTCGACTGCGCGGTAACGTAAATTACTACTAAACAACCAATGAATTCGCAATTTTTTGCAATCAAATCACAGAATTAGACTGACAGATTACTTTAACAGAATGATAAAGGGTGAAAACAAAATGAAATAAAAGAATACATTTCAAGTAAAAAAATATTCTGGGACATTGAATTTTCAAGTTGAAGCCTAAAAAGTGGATCAACTTTTGAGAAACACTGATCAAACGCGCCGATAGCGGTTACCGAACGCCATCCATGGTCAACGGCAGGGAGGTACCTATATATAGTGTGTTGTATATAATGATTACTTATGATTCACATGAATTTCACCCTGGGTGAGGGTGAATAAGTTGTTAAACTAATCCTGGAGAATTACCAGCATGTAAGAATAGTGCCTTGAAGCTGTGCTAAATTTCTGTGTTTACACTGCGTGCTTTGTATTAAGTGTTGCGTGCATTACACCAAACTAAAAAAACGAAATTCAAATAAAATACTGCAAGTATTCGACAGAAAATATCGAAATTGATTCAATTCAATAAGTTTAGTGCTAATTATCAATCTACCTACTTCACATCATTTACTAGCTTTGTTTTATTCTTAACAAATCAAACAAAACCATAATCAAAACAAAATGAATACGACTCCTACAATCCCTTACCTACTTTATCTAATTTTGAACAAACAGGAAATTGAATCTCATGCATTTTCAACAATATTTTAAGAAACAGAATAAAACAGATTATTTCTTTCATTGAAGTACTGAAAGTAACCTGGCAGTGCGGGAGTGCGATTACCGAGGAGCATGCTGACGCAGCCGGCCGCAGCGTTGCTGCATCAAACCAGTGCATCTTAAACACTGCTGATTAAAATCATTCAATTTGAGAAAAATTTGGACTGCTGATAATTTTTTCTTGCGATTTATTGTGTTGTTAGATTCGTTCAACGTTCAACACACCATTTTTGGAAATACCTCACATTTGATGCGTCCTGTCTCTAGACGTTAGTAATCAGTACAACAACAACAATATTCACAGTGGGCTGACGCCATGCTATCAGTGGACCAGCAGAGTAAACTACGCTAACAAAACTTAGCCTCCACAACTTTGTTGGCAATAATAATTATGGAAAAACACAAATCACGTGATGAGAATCCTTCGAAAAATTCACTTCGATCTCAATGTCGGACATTCGACAGACCTGCCATTATACAGAGTGTTTCGAAAAGGTCTTGCCACATTTGAGGAGATGAGAGGATATATTATGGTAGGACATTTTTGCATAACAATGGTTCAGAATGGGGACATCTAGAGTCACTGGATGGTATCTAACTAATAGGTCATCCATTGTGACTCTAGGGACCTCTAACCTCGTTATGTTAATGTGCCCGTCGACCGGATCTCCCTTCTTGTGTGGTTATTTTCGATTCATTTTTTGGTTATTTTAATACAAATGCTCCAGCTATCGACAGTATTTTATTCTCAAGAAGCAACATATCACCTTTCTGGACAAAAATTTGAATTTGATATTTCCATTCAATAAGAGAGTGATTTTATTGACCCATATTTCAAAAACTAATATTCGGGATTTTTATTCACAAAAAATAATGATGGATTCTGAATCAGGATCCCTTGAAACACACCTATGTACCCCTCTGCCTGTACCAATTTTCATCATCACAAAACACAGGGGGTGTCCCAACAATCTAATTATTTTCTTTTTGAATACTTGAATGACAAATTATTATTGAGGACAATACTTCAAGCATATCTGTACCAATTTTCTCCATTCAAATATACAGGGTGATTCAGTTTTTGAGGTACAAAATGAAGTGGGTGATAGATCTTATCGTTTCAATTAAAAAACCGATCTCAATCAGTAGCGGACAAGTTTAATTATAATTTTCTATTAATCAAAATATCTCGCTCACTTTTGAATATATCAATTTGAAATTCAGTTTTAAGCATTTTAGAGATTTTTTAAATCTACAGGGTGATACCGTTTTCGGAGGTATATGCTTCTTCATCCCCCCAAACTTTTTGGAAAACGGTATCAGCAGGAAGCAGATACAATAATCTATATACAGAGAAGTGCACAAGAAAGGGCCAGGACTGTAACTTTTGAATTATTCGAGATAGGGTTTTGAAAATTGGTGGGCAGCTTGTATACCAAATTGCTCATTAATTGACGAAACAATTTTTGTTCGATCCCTTCCGGTTTTACTGGAAACGACCCCAACTTCTGATTTTTAAATGGGACCCTGTATTGCATTTCATAATCGGTTAGGGATTGTCATTACAAATTCATCGATACCGGGTTTGATAGGGTTATTTCAAACGATTCTTAAGTTTCCATATGCTCAATGAGTGTGACAGAGAAAGAAGTTTTGATATTGCGAAGTCACACCCATTGAGCATATGGAAACTTCGAACGCTAATATCTTTGTAATTGTTTGAAAGAGCCCTATCAAACCCGGTATCGTTGAATTCGTCATGATAATCCCTAATCGATTATGGAATACAATACAGGGTGTCCCATTTAATAATCAAAAGTTGGGGTCATTTCCGGTGAAACTGGAAGTGAAAGGAGAAAAATTGTTTCCTCAATTAATGAGCAATTCGGTATACTTTTGCTACCCACCAATTTTCAAAACCCTATTTAAAATAATTCAACCCTGTACCTATAGTGCTAATAATAAAAGGTGAAAGTATTTCCAAATAAGTAATGAAAATTTAGCAACCACCTACTTGAATAGCATTAATGCTTTCTCTCAAACCATCTTCTTTCCGTTTTTTGGTGGAAAGCTCATCATTCACGTCTTGAAAACTATTCAGCAAATCTTTGAGAGCAGCCCTATCAATTCTTTTTGATATGGTATCCCAATTATCACCTTTAATTTCAAATAGTTAGGTCATTATCACAACAAACTGTAAATGACACACTTACCAATGAACTCAAGAAGAATGACACTAGATGCTACATTTTTCGGATAAATTTTTCTCCAGGTTGCAAAAGTCGTTGAGTCTCTTTGGAAAACTTCAACCAATATATCACATAGACAGTTTTGATGAGATTTATTACTAGTTGAGACCACTTTCTTCAATAGTAGTTCTATGTAGCTATGATACTTTTCTTTGTTATCCACAAATAGTAAAGGTTTCAAGTTAGAAACTTTATTCGATAACTCCCTGAGAAGGTCAACAGGAAAATGTTTTTTACTTGTATAAATTATGTCAAGTATCAAAAGGAAATCTTCTTTGGTCAGAATTCCATTGCCATCTCCACTATTACTAATTAAGTTTTTTAGATAACTTAAAATATATGGTGAGTAGCTCTTTATATCAATTACTGGTAAAAATAATTCCCTGAACACTGTAACAAAACAATGCAATAATTTTTTGATCCAAAATAAACAATTTATAAAATTTGCACAACTCACACCGGCAAAATTAGGATAACGGGCACGTAAGCTTGACATCAATTTCCTTTTGAACCCTTTGTTCGATTTTGGTATTGTTTTCAGGAATTTAAACTTGTTGAAATATAATTTTTTAATATCGTCCGGATTGAGAGCAATGGGTTGGCCTAAATGTTCCTCCGGCTTTAATCCGATTGAACATGACTAGGGCATGTTAGGTAGACGATGAAGGTCCAGGATCCCGCAATTCAAAATCCCGAACAAGTAGCACCTTTTCTAGTTGAGATATAAGGAACAATGTTACAATATCAGGGACAAAAATCCTTTTAAATACCCCTGAATATTTTGAGAGACTTTTTAGTGACCGAAATTCACAAATCCATTAGTGTTTTACAGCAAAATAATAATCTGATTTGTCCTACTACATGTTTATTGAAATAATACTCATTATATTTTTATTTTATAGAAACCAAGAGAAAATCCCAAATAATCATTCAAAATGAATCAGATTTTTGTTTTAATTTGATTGAAGCTTAGTCTTCTGCTAGGCAATTTTGGCTTTGGCGATGCTACCGATGAAACGTGATTATGAAATTATTGGTTAATTCGAATTCAAAAACTTTAACAGCAAGTATTTTGACACTTTGAATCAAATCGAACATTTATCGCGCCTAAATAAGTATGTGCCAACCAATGAATTCGGCAAGAGAGATAGAGAGGGAACTAACAGCTACCAGGAGCCTTATTTTTGAATCGAGGGATGTACATGATATGAAGACGAATCGTTTGAAAACGTTAATAAGTCAGAAGTATTCATGGAGAAATAAAGCTACGATTCATAAAAAAAAACTGAAATCACGCAAAGGGTTCAAGAGAATCTAATTTTGCTGGTGTGTTGAATACATTATTGAACATACCTGTTACTCCAGAATTGAAATCACTATAGGCAACGTTGCCTACAGCCCAAAGTATAGAAAGACCTATATTCAATCTATTCTGATAGGAATTTCTCAACACCCTGTGCTTGTTAACGTTTGAAGTAATCAATACTGGTTCATTAAGGGCTATGTATTGCAAGAAAAACTTATAACCTAAAGCTGGAAGACCTTTTCCCATATCGGTAGCCATTGATGTCAAACAGAAATCAAAGAATTGCTGGGCATTGTTCTTGCCTGCTTCTTTAACCGATTTTTCAATGACACCTCGTAGTTCTGAAGGCACCTATGAGACAAATGATTGAAATAGTCAAACGGTTGATGGACCTGATAAATATGCCTACAATCATTCCTTAGAAGTTAGAAGCATCATGATATTCAAGTTGTTACAAAATTCACTACAAAGATTTCAAGGGCGTATTTGAAATTATTTTGATTCCTAGGAATGTCCCATCCGAGATACACTCGGAGCTACAGCTATGGTTATGCAAAGCTCCCCTGAAAATTTGCATACTTATTCAGGTGCTCTATTCATTTTTTATTCCTAAAATTGCATAAGCCTGAAATAGCTCTGAGCTCTTTTTTAAAAAGTCTTATTTTGACCTCAAATATTCATTCTCGTAATCTTAGCAATGATTTTTGAAACATTTTGAATAACATTTCAAGAAATTTTCATAATGCCCACATATTCTTGAAAAAGCTTGAAGAAACTTAAGGGTATCTGTGAAAGAGATGATGTTACTTACTGCGGAAATAGGATAACCCTGAGGTTTGGAAGAAAATACTGGATCTTGGATTTCCAATGACATTTTTTGATTTAAGAAATAAACTAATTCCTTTAACCATACTATAGGAGCATCTGGATAACGATTTTTACTCGTTTCATAAATGGATTCAAATTCTTTCACATCAATCTAGAAAATAAGTAATATCATGAAACTAGGGTAATTTTTTTATAAACTAAAGGGAATTTAAATTTCTTCAACTGATTTCACTCATTACTTTAGGCAAGTTCTACGTTACTTATTTGTAATTCTATAACCCTTCAAAATTAATCACGTTCAACCTGGAACAAGCTGTTAATAGATATTTACTACAACAACGGCCGTAACGCTCGCTAATATAGGATTTTAAGATGTACGGGTTAGTTTTATCAATATGAACACCACCTTCTCTCTATAACTTTCCTCCAATTCAATTCACAAAATGTTAATGTTCCTAATGGCTTTCAATTCACACAATAAATCACAATAGATGACAAGAATATTTCTTTGTTTTACCAGGCAGAAAATCAAAATATTTAATGCTGCAGCTGGCGTTCCATAGCCATACCCCTTTCATTGAAACTGAAAAAGTGTCTTCTGGATTTTTCATATTACTGCCCTCTATCATGCGCCTCAAATTGAAATTAATTTTCAACAATACATATAGATAAAAATAGATATTTTCATGGAATTTTGAGATGTATCATTGAATGTGACACTAAATGATGTCCATGAAATTAACGTCAATGTTCCATTAATTTGACAAATATTTCGCCAACGTGTGTAATCTCAAAGTATGTGTGAATTGTCTGTTAACATAACGACGGCCAGCTTGAATATTTCAACTTACTTCACATCACACTTCAAAATCACATTATAGTGACATTCACTTCAGTGATATTTACTGTCACCTTCAATGTGCATCCTCGGATGCATCCAAAAATTATATGTCTTGTCAACTGAGCATTTATTTTTTATTTCAACTATTTCTTTTCAATTGCCAACTTGTAATACATCACTGCATTCCGAAAAAATTCTAGATCAGAAAAAGAAAGGCGCAGAAGTTTGAAAAAAATATTATCAGAGCCTACTCATAATTCTATTATCTGATGAATGATTTAATTTGCTCTTCTGTTCCAATATGGAATCATTAATAAAAACGCTATAGTTTTAGGCTGATCTATTCTGGTATCCAGTACCTACAATTTTACATCATGAGGATCGCGAGGGGGAAGGCATGGCCCCACCATGTCAGTATACAGGGTGGTCCAGTTTGTAAAACAAAAAATTCAACAGTGTGTTGTACTTGTTGAAATAATAAAAAAAGTTCACATAAATATATACTTTTAAACGCGTCATTTTCGAGATATACGGTGTTGAAAATACGGGTCTGAATATTGTTTTCAATGAAAAGTTCAAAATGATTTGACATAAATCAACATAATTTTTCACAGATACTAAACTTTTTACAATCTATAAGATGAAATAAAAATTATTTCATATGTTCATTTCTTTCTCAATTTGTAGTTCAAAATCTGAAAAAACATACGTCTCTGTGTGAAAAAGCTCAAAATCAGCCCAGAAATATCTCATTTTCAGTTCAAAAATAATATTTGATTGTAATTAAAACAATAGTGCTATGCTCACTGTTTCATCATATAGAGTGTGACAAGTTTAGTATCTGTGAGAAATTTTGTTGACTAATCTCAAACCGTTTTGAACTTTTCATCAAGAAATTATATTCAGGCTGGAATTTTCAACAACCTATATCTCGAAAACGACGCGTTTATAAGTATATGTTTTTTTCATTATTTCAAGGAGTACAACACAATGTTGATTTTTAAATAATGATTGTAATAAAAACCGCACCACCCTGTATATAATATGTTTTTTATGGTCCATACCCTATCCAAAAACTCAACTTGTGGTTGGATCAATTATTATTGGTTTAACTTATTCTGTGAATGTCACAGGACATTGAAGTCATCTCACCAAAGGGAATGAACAATCAAAAACATATACCGGGTGACACAGACTCATGGTACACCCCCCTTTTCTCCTTTGTCTTTCTAGCTATATTTCTGAAATTGGAACATTGAATAAGTTCACATTTTGGATTTTTTTATCTTCCGGTTTTCCTGGAAAGGGCATCAACTTTCAATTCTCAAATGGAACACCCTATATTTTATTCCATAATTGGTTAGAGATTATAATAACAAATTCAATTTGAGTTTGATTGGTTTATTTCAAATGCTTATGAAGATATCTGCCTTTGAAGTTTCCATATGACGATCAATAGGTGTGACCATGCAATAGGGGAACTTTCATCTCTCTCACAGTCATTGATCATATGGAAACTTCAAATGCAAATATCTTGGTAATCCTTTGAAATAACCCAATCAAACCTGAAACTCCAGAAATATGGCAAGGAAAACACAGGAGAAAAGGAGGGTATACTATGTGTCTGTGTCAGCTGGTATAGTGATTCATCAAGATGTTATTTTTTACTTTTGTACCTGAACAAATTACTCTCCTCTGAAGAATATCATAATTTATCCCCCTATGAATAATTAAATAATCGATTCAAACCAAAAATATTGTATGTCATTGAAATCAGCTCTTCAGAAAGAATAAAGTAATAATGCAAAAATGAAGGATGATCCTATCACAGATCACACCTTCCATGTGCTGTAAATGAGTGAGTCAACCTGTATACATACATCCATTATAGTTCATCATAATTTTAAAGATACCTTGAAATTCAATATCTCAAAACAATTTGAAGAAATGGAGGTTTGAACTCAATTTCATATGAATTTTGAAACATATCTACAGATGTTTTCCAGAGAGGAACAAACAAGACAGTATATCAAGTCAGGGTTTGAAAAATTAAAATTGATAACATGACAACATCTTCATGTGAATGTTGGTATTTGCATAATATGGAAAATGACCAATTTATTTAATGCATACCTACCAGCATATTATATATAACCAAGTATATAACCTTTAGAAAGTTTAGTAAACCTTGTGAACTGTTTGGTCTATATGGAATAGTTTTATGAATTTGTGATAAATGAATTGTTTTATCAACTGTTCTAAAATACTCATTATTGCTACAGATCTCAGCACAGTTCATATTTCTGGTAATGTAGCAGAAAGAAATAAAAGCAGCTGGAAATCTTACAGAATTGAGACCAGTTTCAATTGACTTAGGAGATTTAGGTTTTTGTGGCTCTGATGGTCTGTCATTTCTTTGTGGTTTCCTCAATTTTAATTTGCTTTTTTCCTGTGACTTTTTAACTTCTTGAACAATCTTTGGTTCAACCCCTGCAACTTTCTCTGGCAACTTTGGATCTGTAAATGGTAATTTATCAATGAAATGTTTATAATAAAAGTTGAATTAATTAGTACAAATAATCCATGAAAGGTTAGTTTTATATTTCCAAACACCCTCTGAAGATGAAATGCTTCATTTCAACTTCTCAAATCAGTTACCTTATGCTCATATGTAATTTTAGTATAAAAGATTTAAAGGGACCACTTACATGAATCTTCGATTTTCGATCCATTTACTGGACTTTTTACATTGCTGTTATCTTTAGCAGAAACTTTTGGAACAGGCAATTTACTATTTCCTTTCTTTTTTCCTACAACCTCCCACTGTCCAGACATCTGTAATGAATTTCTAGCTAAGCAAAAAGGAATATTTTTCTCACAATCCCTGTGTAATTTCACCTCAAATGCAAATTAAAATATATTTCTTCAATGTGTGTATAACGATTTAGAATTTGAATAAATCACACCACTTCCAAAGAATTTCAAAATCAAAAAGATTTGAGAACACTTTCACCTTTCAAGTTGGCAAAATGTTTGGAGTTTGAAGGTTATAAAAATAAATTTCCTCAATCAATGACACGAATCCACGTCACGTGAATATACACAGAACACTAAAAACACGTTGCCATTATTACCATAGTGCTTTTCTTTTGCAGCAGAAGTGTCTGGAGCACTTTCCTACTTCTACAGTTCGTGTAATTTACACTTCATTTGTGCATTCGTTTGAAAAGTGATTTCTACACCAGTATTTTAAGCATTTAAGACTGTGATTTGAGATACTAAGAGGATAGTTGGCTTCATTCTGACAGGATATGGATGTAGTAGTGTAGTAGTCATGAGCTAAGGGGCGTGTTTTTCATTCCATCGAAGAAAGTGCGCACTGATAGATGCGGTTTTTTGTCGTGACGTCACCAATTGTTCTGTTGGAATTTATGCTGGAAGGATTGAACAATGGTTTATACAACACATTGATGGAAACACGGATTTTGTTGTGTGTCAGTCATCATGTATCTTGAGAATCAGAAGAGGCTAATTCGATTTTATTGATCAACACTGACTCTTTCTTCTAAAATCTCTCAAGAATCTCAAAAATCCTCAATATTAATTGTTTTCTATCAAATCAAAACATAAAACAACACTAAAATATGTCAACTGTCATGTCAATCTCCTCCAAACTGCTGGATTCTCGAAATGCGATTTAAAAGTGCGCATTTTATTACAACAGTTTGATGGATGTCCATCAACATTCCAGCGGAATTTTGCCAACAGTTTGATGGTTTCTTCGATTCATGCGCATGATAAAATGTTGGAATGAAAAACGCACCCCTTACTTAAAGCTTAGCTGGGCAATTTTGGCTTTGACGGTGCTAGCGATGAAACGTGTAATATTGTGATTGGTCAGTATTAGCTAACCATAGAGCAGTTCAGCTAGCGTTGAGCGAAAAAATTCTTCCCCACTAGTAAGATGCCTAAAACCCCAACCAACCAAAAAGTGCACCTCAGTGGTGGTAACCCGTAGGGATATTATGTATACGTAGGGATTTTTCGACTAAATTTTGGGTGTGTAGGGATGTAGGGACGAAATTTTGGGTGTTCCAGAATTATGGAGATTTCTACTGTTAGTGTTATGTGGCTAAATAGCCTAGAAACCTAGCAGAATAAGATCATTCAGAACCAAATCTGAACTTGAATGATTTTCATGTTCTATGGTTTGTGTTGTCATTAGACCTTCTTGGCTCGTCTTCCAAAGGTGCGAAAGTAAGATAAAGTTATAACTTTGGAACTGACATGACACTGCAATGGAAACACTGAACAGATTTAAGTGCAATTTTTGCGATTCTCGCTGTTTGTGGATTGTAGGGATCTTTTTATAATGTTGGGGATTTCAATGGACTTGTATAGGGAAAATAATTGTAAAAGGTTACCATCACTGGCGCACCTCCATATTGAGATCTGACCACTCAAAAAGTGTACCACTACTTGCTACTTTTCTTAGTTTTATAATTTATATATTGAAATATTCTTAAATAGAGCTGGATCCTGAATGGAAATATCATTGAATCAATGAATCACTATCGGATGATCCTATCCGTTAGTTCAGAACAGAATGAAGCCCCATCCCCATGGGGCGTGTTTTTCATTCCATCGAAGAAAGTGCGCACTGATAGATGCGGTTTTTTGTCGTGACGTCACCAATTGTTCTGCTGGAATTTATGCTAGAAGGATTGAACAATGGTTTATACAACACATTGATGGAAACACGGATTTTGTTGTGTGTCAGTCATCATGTATCTTGAGAATCAGAAGAGGCTAATTCAATTTTATTGATCAACACTGACTCTTTCTTCTAAAATCTCTCAAGAATCTCAAAAATCCTCAATATTAATTGTTTTCTATCAAATCAAAACAAAAAACAACACTAAAATGTGTCAACTGTCATGTCAATCTCCTCCAAACTGATGGATTCTCGAAAAGCGATTTAAAAGTGCGCATTTTATTACAACAGTTTGATGGATGTCCATCAACATTCCAGCGGAATTTTGTAACAGTTTGATGGTTTCTTCGATTCATGCGCATGATAAAATGTTGGAATGAAAAACGCACCCATGGCTCCTTCCTAGTTCCTGTACCCGAGACGCTCGTGTTCTGTGAGCATAACTGGAGCTGCACTTTGGCTGCACGACAAAGACAAATCAACTGACACTGTCAACTTATCTTGACAACTTAACCTAAAATCTCTCATCTGCTTTGCTAACCTAACCTAACAAAAAGCACAGTAAAAGAGTCCTAGTGCTCCTGCTGACCTACTACTACTGATCTAAAAATATTTTATAGAAGTGATTCATTATTTGGATGAAAAAATGCATAGGTGTGATCTGATGTGATTGCCATTATAATTATCACTGATTAAAAAAAAATCATGTCATCAAACTTCCAGGATCTCAAATGGTCCTCCGTAGAAGTATTTTTCTTTTAATTCTTGCTTCTATTTCAATATTTTTGGTAACAACAAATTTTTTATTGACCTTTTTACCTCCCCTGGATACCAACCGGGTAGAGAAAATACCTATCAAAGAAAAAATCCAGTGGGAACTAGCTCAATTGCCTTCCCAATACAAAACTGATTCATTTGTTAACAACAGATGGATTGAATCATTTTTGAAAAATACCAGAAAGAAGTTCCATTCAAACCTCAATGAAGTAGCTCTAAGGAGCCTTTGGGAAGAGGCAAATTCATGGGTATCACCTAAACAACTTTACAATGTGAATAGTACAAACTTTGGTAAAGTACTGTTTGCTTTGAAAAATGCAGACATTGTTCAAGCAGATATAGATACCCGGGGCACTCAATTGAAAATTTTGCTTACTCTTCAGGTAAGTGTATCATTGAAATATGAATAAAGAAATTATAATGGTAATCCATACATACAAATGTTTGTAGGGAAACCAGCAAGTTGTATTTAAACCAAAGTGGTATTCCAAAGACAAAGTAATAGAAGGCTCTGTAACCTCTGGGAAGGACAGATATAATTCAGAAATAATTGGATTCTATCTCTCAGTTATTATGAAAAAGCCACTTTGTCCCTTAAGTGTCCAGAGGCATATATCACTAAAGAATGACATAATCCCAGTTGCTACAGAAAGGTTACTTTCCACCAGTTTCAAGAAAAATAACAAAACTTGTATATTTGGTAAATGTTTTTACTGCAAAATGAATGACTCTGTCTGTGATGATGAAAATTCAGGCTTGACTGGTGCTATTATTTTCAATATCAAAGGAAACCTGGAGAAATTCAGGTCACCTTGGCAAAGAACATATAAATCAGGAAAAACAGCAATATGGGAACAATACCCTGAGAAATATTGCAAGTAAGTATTAAACCTATTAGTTATTTATGTATCAAGGGCATAAAGTAGGTGTTTATGCACTAGTGATTCATTTATCCAGTCAAAAGTTATGATAAGATTTCAATTAACAACATTATTTATATGACCTATGAAAGAAGTGATCAATAGAAGCATAATGGTTGTTATGGGCAGTTCACATATTGAAATTATCATAGGTATAACAAAATTATCCTAATAGTAAGACTCTTTGTTCACCAAAAGAGATTCATTTCTTGAAATGTTAAAAAATGTATATCCAGTATATATCTACCTAATTTTGACATTGTCAATAGCAAACTGTCCTCCTGTGGGTGAAAACTGTAGAGAGCAAGAAAGCAATTATTCAAAGAACTGCCTTAGCAGAGTGATAAGATTCTTGGAACAGGATGAAGAAGAACATGTATACAATATACCACTGGAAATCATAGCTTAGAGTGCAAACATAGTTATTTCATGAATTGGTATGTAGATATAAGGAATTTGAGAAAACAGAAGTACATTAAGTGTCACTTTACTGCTTGCTAGTGCATAAAACAAATATTAATTGCCTGTCACTTTTTGTGAACTAGGGGATAATTTCATGTTTTTTCAATTCCAGATCTGTGAAAGAAAAAATGCCCAAATCACGTTTATATGACTTGATAGATGTATCAATTTTTGATTTTCTTATACAAAATGGTGACAGACACCATTATGAAACCCTAGGTAATAATGTCATTTGGTTAGATAATGGCAAGGGATTGGGAAATCCTTACATACATCATATTGATATCTTGGCACCTTTATATCAGTGTTGCATGTAAGTTTGCTTCATATGAATAATGTTGAAAACAGTATAACTATGTTAACTTTATAAGCAGTTTGAATAATTCTCAAAACTTCCTGAGATATTTCATAGATTCATATGATCTAGCTAGATAGGTATAATATTATTATTACCATATACTATATAACATACCATCTCTCTTTTATGTTATGATGCAATGAAATGTCCTTGGCTATTTATAAGGATAATAATACATTTTGTATTGATCATGCCATTACTTGATGAAATTTCATGATAAATGAGAAACTCTTCATGGATGAAAAGAATATTCCAAAAAATCTCAACACATTTATAGTGTTACACATTTATTTCTATACTGCATCCTTATGGAGAGATCTAAAAATATGCTATAACATTTTGAGAACATAATTCCCAAATATTTGACACTGATTAAATTAAATTTAGCTGCTGTTATGAGCAGCAAGATGCAGGAAGTGTAATGAACACACCAGAAATAAGGAAAGAAAAAATATATTCACATTATGTAATCTAGAATCTGAAGTTATCTGTGTTCTGTAGGTTGAGAAAATACACATGGAAAAGTTTACTGGAATTAACTGGAGGAAAGATTAAACAGAATTTGGAATTGATGCCAGATATTCAGACTCTAACCACACAGGAACATCTGACAGCCATAGAAGAAAGACTTTTACTAGTATTTGCAACATTTGAATTTTGCAGACATAAACAGAATGATGAAAGTTTGTTATAACAATTTTTTAATAAATGTTGATCCACATAAGCCTATCAACATTTTTTTGTTTCCTACTTTTTTCAATTGATTAATAGAAGATCAGGTAATAATCTGATGTAGTGCTAAAATTATCAAAGATACATGTAATGTACCTAGAAATGACAAGTATATCATGTCATGTTCAAGGTACCTCTATAATTTGTACAATTTGATAGAGAGTTATTTAGATTATTTTACCTACCAAACCCACCTCTACAATTTGGGCTTGGTTCAATCATTTGATCACTTTCTTGCCATTGAGCAGGGGTTTTTGCCTCAATAGATAGTGCATGGACACCATTCTGGAGTTCTGCCTTTAGGACTTCATTTACCATTCTATGTCTCTGGAAATCAAGATTTGTTGTGGAATGTGTACTATCAGAGTAGGTATCTACTTACTTGTATTAAGGGTTTGTTGTTGAACTTTTCAGAAACAACAACAACTTTGAAGTGTGTTTCAGAACCTTTTGGAACATTGTGCATATAAGACTCATTTATTACCTCTATATGGTTAGTTTCCAGATGAGTCTTTAGCTTAGCCTTTATTGATTGTTCAATAAGATTCACAGTAGTCATTTTTCTAATTATTTCTGATGTACCTGAAACAATAACTGACAATAATCTCTATATGTATAGATAAAAATACATGAAGATCAAGATATTTGATTGCTGAACGTGAATAGACACCTACCTAATTTGGAGATATATGCTAACTGCCGAGTTTTCCTATACAATGATTTAAACATACCAATTTTAAAGAATGATCTTGACTCTCTTGACTCAATGATTTTTTGAAATTGAAAAGTCAAAGCAATCAAAACAAAACAATGTCAAGTTGTCACATCCCATTACAATTACACCTACATCCCATTACACCTACATCCCATTGCACTTACATCCCATTGCACCCACATGCCATTACATATAGGTCCTATTACAACTATATCACAGTAGTTTGCGTTCGCCCCGTTCACGCAATTGTGGCGAAACAAATAAGAAGAAGAAGTAAATAACCCCTCACCCGTCTGGCCGTCACCATCACTTCACCATCATCCCAGAATCAAAGCAAAGAAGAATTTTTGAACTGGAACCTTGATATTCCGATTATCATTATTGAAAACCCTCTGGACTAGTCTGGACTCAGGAGTATTTTGGGCTTCGAACTTTGACTGAATATAAGATTGACAAGAACCAAAAAATATGTATTGTATAAAAACATTTACAGCCAATGGCAAGCAATTACTGATCAGAAATTTCAAAAAGGAATCAATATTATGTGGCTTTTCCGTGAAAAAATATCATTACCTGTACAAAACATTTACAAATAATTATGGGAATAGCTCTTTTTTTCAAATCAAACAAGTCACTATATGTAGTTGTTATATAAACAAATCACTCTATCTTGGCAATCCCTACAGTCAAATTGGATTTGGTACAAAAACAGGAGATGTTCAAAATTCTAAAACTACTGAGCAGAAGCGAAGTGGAATTTTGAGTGAAATCAACATTGAATACAGTACCCAACAAAACACTACCAGTGGCCTCAAAATATTACCAATTTCTAGTCCTGAGTCTAATAAAGTTAGTTATATGTATCCATTAACAAATGTGGAGTTGTTGAGAACATTCTAATAATCTGAAATAATTTTTGTTGTAGATTACACAGATCTATTATGATGATAATGATGCATCAAGAGAGGCCCAAAAGTTGTTTGTAAATCCAAAGAACATGTTGCACAATATTTTTTATCTAGTATCTAAAGAAATTAACAAACCTTCTCTTCATTTAACACCTTCATACAGACAAATCAAGGATCATAAAAAGATGACTTGGATATGTATCTATAAGATAGGATGGCCAAAGGAAATGAAATTCATGGCAAAAGATGTTACCAAGAAAGTTGCATCTGAAAAAGCAGCATTAGCTGCTCTTACTTGGTTGAGACAAGAAAGAAAAATCACAGACCAGGGGGCTCCACTGATCTATGATAAAGAAGAAATCAAGCAAATATCTAGGAAGACTTACCCAGTCATAACTCTAGATGAGAAAACTATTGAAAAAATGAAAAACATCATAGAGGTGCATAATACAAACATGCTTCCAATTATTGAGAGCACTAGTTCAGAAATTGGAGAGGGGAGCATTCTTGGTGAAAATTCAGTCCCCAAAGAAGATGAAGATATGCAGTTAACACCTGTTAAAAAACAGATATTTTTAGGTTCTGAGCGCTACTCCTCAAAGGAGAAAGTTGAATTACCAATTGCAGCTTTTAAGTAAGTACCTTGTATGTATCTGAGTGAAATGTTGGTGCATGATATTTATATGTTTCAACTTACTCAAAATGGGTAGATTCACCTTATCAACTTATTTATATGCTAATATTTTCATTAGTTGGTATATGGGCATGTAATTCAAGAATTAGTAATCTCAAATATCTTGAATAATTACTATGGTGTTGTTTTTGGGAATTAGGTATTAGATTAAAGGAACTGGAACTGGAATTTTGTTTGTTGTTTTAAGCTCATTTACACATACATATGTATCTCACATATGTACATACATCTGTCAAAACAGAAACCTGTTATGGTTCATCACCATTTCTTCAACATGAAAACTATTCTCATTGCCCTGAAAATGTCAAAATAAATTGTTGAAATGTTGGCTTTCAAGAAATATAGTTTTCCTCCGATTGGCAACAAATATTAATTTTGCTGACACATATCGATCAGCAAAGTATTACTTTTCCTGCCTAGGCAGCAAAGTGGGTACTTTGCTGCCTAGGCAGCAAAGTGGTTACTTTGCTGATTGATATGTATCAGCAAAATTAAAAATCCATAAATCGTTAATAATTTCCTTCATATTCCATCCGAGACTTCTCCGGCAACAAATTCAACTCTATATTTTTTGCCACCTCCCTTATTAATGGAGGTGTAAGTATACTTCCAGGTCGCTATCACTGTCCATTATATAATAATTTGAATATACCGATATTTTTTCGCACAACTGTCAGAAATTTCATGAATTGTCAAACCAACAACTGCGATTTCTATCAAATTTTATTTTAATTGAACACTATACAGGAAGAATAAAGAGATTGTGGGAATTGTATTAATTCGCAAATACAATATTCTCCCATATCATTATGAACAATCGGAGAAAAAATCATATGTTCAACTCGGCAGCAAAGTAGATTGACTGCCTTAGCTGGATTCCTAGCCTCGCTACGCTCGGCTATGAATTCAGCCACGGCAGTCAATCTACTACTTTGCTGCCTAGTTAAACAAATAACTATTTCTTTAATCTAATATATATATATATAGTTTTCTTTAATCTAAGACCTAAATCCCAAAAACAACACCACAGTAATCTTTCAAAAGGTCATAAAATAATTGAACTCTTGAATAATATTATATCCTCTCTAACTCACAGATCACATAGAACAATAAAAGTTAATAGACAAAATGTACCTATCTCATTAGACTGAAATAATGAAAAAAAATCTCAAAATCATGAAAATGTTCAGAAATCTTATAATTATGCATTTAGGCATTTATAAATATTATTTTGTATTTTTTAGGTGCCTATTTGTATTTGAGACTAATCAAAGATAAAAAGAAACATAAGTATTTTCAGTAGTAATCTCAGTAGTAATACTATAAGTAGGTACTTGAAAATATTCCCATTATACATCCAAAATTTGTTGCATAATTACAAAGAGTATCAGTTTAACAGTTGAAATAATCCAACCAAGATGCATATATTCAAAATTATACAAGGTAGCTTAGGTCAATTGAATGTTCTGATTGGTTTAAAATTCTATGAAGAAAATAATCATATTAATTCATCAGGGAATCCATATATACATATAGGTTCATCTATATAGGTACAAATACACCATATAAAAATTGAAGGTAGTGGCCCAGAATAAGGGTAGGTATAGTCTTCAAGAAGTCACTTGAGACAAATTCAGCCAATAACATCACCAGCGGCACACGGTCCGTTTGGACTTTTCAAGAGGGGCCGGCGGGCAGTTGTAGAAAAAGTATAGTGTGCAACATGTGGGGAAAAGTACTTTTCTCACTTCACTCGTGAGAAAAGTCGAACTTTCCCCACTTGTTGCACAATATACTATTTCTGGCAGACCCTCATTGATGCTGTGTCACAGATTGGAAATATAAACATAATAGCAGGCGAACGTCAGGAATGATTTTGATAGCAATTGATAGATGACAATGTTGACAAGATAAATATGGACTTGGCAACAATTCTCGAATGGGGATCCAATAACTTGGTAGAATTCAATGCAAACAAAACACAAGCATGCCTTTTCTCTAGAAAAGCTGATCTCACTGTGCCCAACATAAGCTTTTCAGGAGTAACCGTACCTTTGAAGACATCCATTTCGTACTTGGTATTACTAACCTTTCTTGGGAAAATCACGTGAGATCAATTGCTAAAAGTGCATCCCGTAAACTTTGTTTTCTGTTTTGGACCAGGACCTATTTCACTTCCAGTCAGCTGCTTATGATCTATAAGGCACAGATCCGATCTGTCCTAGAATACTGTTTCCATATTTGTAGTGCAGCACCCAAACATACCCTGAAACTGTTGGATTCTGTCCAAAAAAGGACAATTTGCCTTGTGGGTGATGCCTCACTCACAAACTCACTCACTTCTCTGGAACTCCGTAGAAAAGTTGACGATCTGGCTCTATTTTATAGATATTTTCATGGGCGATGCTCTTCTGAAATAACAACAATTGTTCCTCCCTTGGCAGTCCCCGCAAGATCAGCCCGTCGAGTTGAAGCTTTGCACCCCTTCGTAGTCACTTTGGAGACCTGCAGAACATCTTTTTCCAAAGACTCGTTCATCCAACGAACAGCGAGGCTCTGGAACACATTGCCAAGGGAGGTGTTCCCCGAGGCATATAACCTCCAGAAATTTAAGAACACCAATTCCTACCTTATTTCCCTTCTCACGATGTTCTCTGAATAATAGAGGATATCCCTTTTCGTGAGAACCAGAACATAAAAAAAACTGAAAATTTTGTTTCCATTATATCTATTACTTACTCCTCTCTTTCAAGTGGCCTCAAATCATAATACTTCAATTTCAAAAATCTATTATATTTCTATGTACAGGGTGGCTGGAATTCAAGCCTCATCAGTGGGATCTCGTAAACCCTAAGGGTCGGTTGAATTATGACAAAGTTGCGCAATTCCATGCCTAACAATATTCCGTTTTGAAATTTGAAAAATTCTGAATACTTCCAAAACGAATACTTGTGATTTCATTATTATATTTTCTGACTATTTGAATAGAGGTAACATAACAAATTACACATTTTAATTTCTACTTTTTTTGTTCTATAAGGTGGTGCTGCCAGATATTCAAACCGACGTTCCGTCGTCGAACTGCCATCATCAACTTCGTTTTTTTAAATACGACCCTGGATTTTCTATTATGGATTTTGAGATCTTTCAATCTCCTAAAATCAACGGTGTATCGCACTTATTCGAAAAATTCATATTAATCGCATTTTCTATAAGAACTCATGTGTTCGAGAGAGACAGAGAATACATTTTTGGAATAGGATTAACAACAACACATCTTTTCAAGTAAGTGCAACACCGTTGATTCCAGGAGGAAAGCTCTGAAAATTCGTAAAGAAATCCAGGATCGTATTTAAAAAAACAAAGTTGGTGATGGCAGCTCAGAAACGAAACGTCGGTTTCAAAATCTGATAACACCATCTTGTTGAACAGAAAAAGTAGCTATGTGTGATTTTTTTTTGTTACATATATTCAAATAGAGGCATAAAAAATGAAAATTAAATAGCGAGTATTCGGTTTTTTACAAAAATCTTCGGAAATATTCGGAATTTTTCAAATATCGAAACGGCATTTTGTTGGATATGAAATCGCGCTACTTTGCTGTCATTTGACCTATCCTGTATCTCGTACGGTTTACGAGATCCCAATGATGAGGCTCGAATTCTAGCCACCCTCTACAATGACTTGAGTACCATTCTGTATATTATTCAGGCCGAAAGATGCCCATAAGATCATAATAATTTTGTTAAGAAATTGCGCTGTACCCGAAACCACTTCCTACTGGAACTTCAGTAATAATTATACATTTTTAGAAATAAAATCAAAGAACATGTGGTTTCCCACCAAGTTCTGATAATTAAGGGCGAACCGGGATGTGGCAAAAGTACCAGAGTCCCACAGTATGTGCTGGAGGCATGGGCGGAGGCTGAGGGCTTGCAAGGGGAGCCAGGAAGGGTGGTGGTGACGCAGCCAAGAAGGATTGCTGCTATATCGTTAGCCGAAAGAGTTGCTTCAGAACGAGACGAGTTCGTGAGTAGTAAATATAGAGTGTGGCCAATGTGCCACCATGTGGTTTGTTTAGCTTGGTTTAAAGTTCAGAGTGTATTTTTTTCCTCCAATGCAGTTCTGTTTCACAGATCTAAGATTGAGGGGGAAAGGAAATACTCAAAGCACACAAAACTATCGACTGATTGCCTTGCTGTTTCTTAAAGATCTTTGAAAAAGCTCGTCTTTTGCCAATCCTTCACGCTGGTTCAAGATGCCCTTTTGTCCTTTTATGGAGCCATCTTAGAAAACTTCAACAATAAACTGAAATCAATCGGTTTGTTCTATGACTACTCTCGTGCATTTGATATCTTAAATCACAATATCCTACTAGAAAAGCTTTATTGGTATGGCATTCGGGTTCCTGCGCATAGCTGGCTCAAATACTATCTAACAAAGTGAACAATTTGTCAAATTATACATAAATAACACTAACCAATATTCGGTATACTAGGACCGATCCTATTCCTTGTTTTCATTAACAACATTACTGATATACTATAGGTGCTAGTGATTCTTTTATAATAACATTATTCGCTGATGACACTAGTGCAGCAATCGCCGGTACGAGCATACCTAATGTAGTTTATTCAGCAAATCAAAACGTAGATAGCATATGCTCTTTCAGTACGCAGATTGGCCTCGTTTTAAATAAGAAAAAACTAATTTCATTAATTTCACACCAATAGGTGTCAAACCAGGCGACAGCCTTCTGCTGAAATGCGACGGTGAAAGCATAATTCCAGCTGAGGAAGTTAAGTTTCTGGGTCTATGGCTTGATCCTCATCTAGCATGGGACAACCACATAGCTCGTTTGCTGAAAAACCTAGCGAACAAAAATGTTTCCATTATACAATTAAGGAATCGTGTAAATCTCGACACCCTCAAAATATATTACTTTGCTGCAGTTCACTCGATAATCTCATATGGACTGATTTGCTGGGGAAATTTTACAGACACCCATAAAGTACTAACTTGACAAAAGCGCATATCCTGTAGAAAGCATTTTCGCGACACGGGTATTCTAACTGTATATAACTTGTATATTCTCCAGTGTCTTATTCACTTTAAGAAAAATATTCATAATTTCCAAACATGTGGGAAAAGAAATTGTTTTTTTAATTTTTATTAACAATATTTCAGAACCATTCTCCATCCAACCTTGTGCTTAATCATGTTTTGAATTGAAGTGCGATCCTTTTTTGTCGCTCCTCAACACAATGATTTTAGATTCACGTCAATCTTCTTTTCAATAGAAGATACAAGTGTTTTGAGAAAATATGAAATTTTCAAATTTTTATTAACAATAATTCAAAACCTATAGAGCATCTACGTCTTGCCTAGTCAGAGCCTCTCAAACAGGTACGATTCGCCCTTCAAGGAGATATTCAGGCATTTTTTTCAAGATTACTTGAGAAATTTTATCAACTCGATGCTACGGAACTTGGATGCTTGAATTCAAACTCGAGGAGGGCATACTCGTTATTGACTACAAGGTCTGCTTTTTCCGGTAAGTTCTTTGAAAATGAGGTAGAAATATGAATTATTGATCCTTCAAGTTGTTGATCAATAAGTTCATGTAGATTCTGATTATTGTTAATGAGAATTGAAAAATGCTGTACTTTCATAAATTACTCGTATCTTCTCTTGAAAATAAGATATTGACGTGTATCAAAAACTATTGTGTTGAAAAGGGATCACACTTCAATCCAAAGCATAATAAAGCCAAGTTCAACCATTCAAATTCACCACAGGGCGTTAAGAAGTGATGGGTGAAGAAGCGACTTTGGTTATTCCCTGTATAATGATCAGTTCTTAACGGAGACTAATATTAAGGCTAACATTCAATAACGTGAATCTACGATTTGATAAAAGTTTCACAAAAATCGGACAAGGATTGAGAAAGTGAACAATTGGGCAAATTTTTTGGTGGCCGGTTTTTTTGCCGGTGAGTGTATTTTCTGACCTTGACAATGCCTATAATGATGTATTTCAGTCGATGGAAATAAAGATTTTGTATTTGTAGTCATTTTCTCCAACAGTACCATAGGCAGGTTAGGCCGCCTGAGCTATCAATCATTAGGGGCCCAAAGAAAAGTGCTAATTGAAATAATATGCATCATATTCATATTACACACGTCACCCATCACTCTCTCACCTGTGCTTCAGTATAATATATGTCTCCAGTTCCATATCATCTGAGATATCATCATCATCTTCATTAGTAATAGGTCCAGAATGATTTTTTATAACATCACTCTGATTGTTTGATTCCATGTTCTCTATTATTTCACTAATATATTTGGAACTTACTAATGAAATTCTGATTTTTTATTGGCAATTCCATTTCTTTTGTGGGACTTTCAAATTCATTATTCTGATTCTTTATTGTCAATTACATTTCTTTTTGGGGACCTTCAAATTCATTTATTTATGAAAAATCACAAAATAGGCAACTATTTATGAGGAGAATCACAATTATTATCATGTAGGTACTCACTTTCTGTATTATAAGTATAGTCCTATTTGTTGCATGTGATGATTTCGGAATATTTACTGATGGTTCTGAAGTTTTTTCACGAGTTTTGGAGGTTGAACAAAACTTCCTGAATTTCGTTTCAACTATTTTGTGAACTTGCTGAATGTTTGAAAAAATAAATGCAATAACCAGCCCTCAGACACAAAGTAAACCCAAGATAAAAATAATCAAAATTCACTCAAAAAAATGGTCGCCATATATGTGTCATTGTTGTTCATACTCGCAAGACTTGTATAGTTAGCCACCAGAGGACTCACACTTCGTGATTCTCGCGAATTGCGAAATATGATATGACAACAATCGCTTCTCAATAAATGAGCAATTTGGAATACTGGCTACCCACTAATTTTCAAAATCCGGTCTCGAATGATTCAGAAGTTACAGCACTGGCCGTTTTTCGTATACTTCTCTGTATTTTTCATGTATGGATATTTCTTACCAGGCTTAAAAACTCTTGACCGGTTTTCTAGGTTGGAGATATAGTGGGATATCAGGTCAGATTGAATTCGAAATTTCGATCAAATACCGGCAGAATTCTTTATTGCACCACCGGTATTCTCTTGAGGCATCTGCAGTCTGATTCGAAACTATCCGGTTTCACGCATATCATACTAGACGAAGCACATGAACGTGACGTCAATACTGATCTGCTCATGAATTTGCTTAGAAGCGCCATCAGATCCAATCCGAAATTGAAGTTGATTGTCATGAGTGCCACGATCGATACTAATATGTTCAGCGAATATTACGACAATGCTCCAGTACTTGAAATTCCAGGATTTACTTATCCAGTTAAGCAGGTAATATTAGTGTACATAATCGGATAAACTGAAATGGGCTAGTGGACTATTTTTTTTATTCACGATAGAAAGTAACACGTCACCCCATCTGACGGCAACAACTAGAACACTTCTGAGCGGTTTGTTTTGATGATATGACCAATAAGCACAAACAAAAAACAAATGTGAACCAATGAAAACTAGGGTCCCTTGATGGAAATTGACATTAAAGTCATCTTAACAGGGTACGGACAGATCATAGCTGCATTCTTTTTTAATGGTCTAGGGACTTTAGTTTTGTCTACTGGCATCACTGACATTGCTGTCACGTCACATCCATGGGCGTTACAGAAAATCATTCAAAATCTTGATAATTGGTATGTACAGGGTATTTACCTACTTTTTGTTGTTGAGGAAGATCATATGGCGGACGAGTTTTGTAATTATGATCCGATTCTATTCGAAATTAAAAGGTATCTGGGTTTTTCCGGGGTTGAAGATAATGATTGTTTCGTCAAACTTGGAAAATTTAAGATGACGGATCCAATATATAGCGAAATAAATTTCTAATTATGATCTGATTCTATTTAAGATTGATGGTATCTGAGGGTTTTCGGAGTTGAACTTCATGATTTTTTGTCAAAATTGTGAAATTCAAGACAGCGGATCCAATATGTAATCATGATCCAATTTTATTCAAAAATCAATATTGGTATCTATGGATTTCCGGGGTCGGAGATTATGATTGTTTCGTAAAAATTGGAGAATTCAAGATGATGGATTCAATATGGCGAAAGACATTAGTTTATATAATTATTATTACTCCACCACAAATAAAAAATATGTAGGATGCAAGAGTGAAAATAACGTGCCTATAAGATATACTGCGTATAGGTACCTACTTCTTTGTTACTTTCATCAATAAATTATTCGAAAATTACTTGTTATTCAAGGGAGAGGGGAAAATAAGGTGGAGTATATATTCTTTTTTCAGCTTACTTCTTGTCCTAGACGAACTTTTATACATAGTGTGATATTAGTAATTCCATAAATTCTTCTCCGAGTTGAATTTACGAAAATATATTCAGCACACATGACATGAGCACAATAGTTTAGATAACCACACCGAGGTTTCCCCCATTTCTCAATCATAAGGCTCTGCTTATTCAGCTCATAGATAAACTACTGCTCAGCTTTAAATCAGAATTCATTCAGTCAATTCAGTCAACCCTGGTATAAAGTCTAAGAACAGTCTCTTTTGGTGAAATTGAGACGTCTCTAGGCATCTTAGGTGAAATATATTAAGCTTTCATCAGTACAATTGATATGTTCCCTAACTCGCAAAGATTTTGCTGGAGTAGTAAACTCTAAAACTAGAGGATTGTTCATTGTTGAGTAAGAAATTCCATATGGAAATTACGTATGATACGCCAGTGCCCTCAATATAACCTAAAAAACAACGAATGTCAAAAATCTAGTGTTTATCCCCAGAATTGAATAAGGATGGAACTATATAACTGTTTCACAAACACTTTAGAGTGAGAGGAGACGAGGATCTGTCCGTACCCTGTTAAGATGACTTTAACGTCAATTTCCATCAAGGGACCCTAATGAAAACGAAGTAAACATGCCGCTTTGTCAGCTTTCAAGAACTCCGATAGGTGGTGTACGCTTATTTTCTATCGCGAATAGAATCATAACTCATTTACCTTTGAATTCCATATGTTTTTAGATTATTTCGGTCGTTATAACCCGGCGTCGCCCAGGAGGGGTCTCAGATAGCCAGACAAATTTTAAATCACTGGCATTTCAATTTGAATGCATGCACATTTCTTTGGTTGCCTACAGCTTCCCAAAACACTACATTCTATCATATTCTGGTGCGAATTCAATTTTTTAGTTAGTTACCAAGATAGTGACAGTGCAGTAAACAGCTTTGGGGTCTGAGAAGCCTCACCTGTGTAACAAATATATATATTTTATCCTAAGAGATACATGTAAATTCCCATGAGAAAGAAAATGGATCATTTTTCGTTTTTTTCTTATACTACATGTTACTTTTCTAACTGATAACTTGAACATTTTAATAATTAGTTTTGCATGAAATCTTTCAGAATTGAGTGTTGAATATTTTTTAAACAGTTTTCAAAGATATCAAGTTTTTTACCCGTGAGAATTTCGCCATCTAAATGTCTTTCATGATATTTCTCTTATTATAAAAAGTTTCTGTTTATAATCATGAAGTGAATACATCTATAAACTCATTTCACATACAAATCTGGAAATACTACAATTGATTTTTTTGTCCTCGAGTTTCTAATTATGGGGTACATCAGACCCCATCTGGGTGAGAATGTACCGATTTTCCAACCTTGGTGACGCCGGGCTAAGGTGCTAAAATCATCAATATCGTCACGGTAATTTTCAAATGACTAGAAATTTACCGCAAATAAAAACTTCCCGATTTCGTAAGTAGGGGCAGGCCATAGGAATGGGAACAAAAATATTAGGGAGAGAAAGAGAGAGAGAAAATATTTTTTTCTACAAACGTCAAAAAATGACAAGGTTCGCGCATTGATTACAAATTGCGAAGTGACACTTTTTTTCAGTTTCCTACGTTACCATAATTCCTTGCACAAAACAATGCGCGAAGTAAAACAGTGCGCGAAGTACCTACTTCGCGCATTGTTATGTAAAATAAATGAGATATTTATATTTCAACTTTATGGTCCTCAATTGAGCAGACATCCACAAAATCATTTATTTCTGGATGTTCAACAATAACTTTGTTTTTTCTCTTGGAGCGCACGAAAGGAAATTCCTATTATGTTCGTGGAACATCGTGCGTACCTAGGGAGGATAGGGGGAGACCTTCCAAGCCAGTTCAACACTATTTTTTATATCAAGTTAAGCATATTTTTACTTTAAAACTATATTTTTTGACGTTTATAGAAAAAATTTTGTTTGCAACTCGAGCGCGAAATACTTTGGTCATCTCGACTATTTTTTTAACTCGGCTACGCCTCGTTGAAAAAATCAGATCTCGATCACCAAAGTAGCATTTCGCGCTCTAGATACAAAAATAACTAATTGACTATTATCTCAATGATAATTAATGATTTTTGTTTTCTATTCAACTTTATAATGTGATGGAAACTCGAATGTGGGATGATTTTCATTTTCCATAATTAATATATTTGGACATTATTTTTTGTTCAATACAAAATCTGTCTCTGAAAACTCTGCTGAAAATAACAATTTTTGAAAAAAATAGTTCCAGAGGCAATGTCGATTGAATAATCAGCTCATCCAGATTTGAGACGCCTTGAATAAATATGAATAATATATTATCCGATCTTGTATGTTATAATGATTGATATGTACTCCAATGATGTTGCAGATTCGTTTTTTCTGTGATATTTGTATCTATGAAAATGGAATCTGGAGATTCTCGATTTTCTATTAGTATTTTTAGCATTTTTTGGATGACTGCGTAGAAATCGACTTACTCAAAACATTAAAAATGTGCGAAGGAGATGTTCCATCGGTAATACACGAAGATGTTGTGAATGTTCTGAAATATATCCAAAATTACAAAAAAGAGGGTGCTATCCTTTGTTTCCTTCCTGGATGGGATGATATTATCAAAATCAAGAGATTGATTCCTGAAAGGAGAGATTTATCAGTACATTGCTTACATTCAAGGTAATCATTTACTTAATGAATTATCAAGCAAGATACATAGTTTTTGATAATATACATGAAAACAGCTGCTGTTCAATTTTGTATTGAAAATAATAATATTCATACCATGGTGACTTCAGATGGAGAAAAATCGATTCACAAATAATTCATATATCTAACCTGGTTTGAACTTATAAATCTTCTATTATTATTTTTATAAACTATTCAGTCAAGTATACGAGATTTCGTTTTTTTTTTATCTTTCGTTTTTGCTTCCATTTCCTTCAAATACTATTACTCCAGTTGAAGTTGAATGAAAATATTAAGCCATGATTGTTTCGTTTTTAGATTAGACGATTATGAGCAACGAAAAATATTCTCACGTCCACCACCTGGAGTAAGGAAGATTATTTTGGCAACTAATATTGCAGAAACGTCAGTAACTGTTGATGATGTTGTTTATGTTGTCGATACGGGGATACACAAGGATCAAAGATTTGATGTCGGAAAAGGTTAGTGATGCAATATGTCCAGATATGAAGAACATTTTAATTTATTCTCATGTCTTTGAAAGGAATAGGTAAAATAATTAATAGTCTTGTTGTAATATCTCGAAAGATCAACTACTTTCCTTGTTAATACCATCCAAAATCTTCTTTAACACCTGGTTAATGGATAAATTTGCATTCTCAAAATAAAAAACACTTAACGTCATAAATCTATATCTACGATTAAAAATACCAACTATAGATCTTCCAGTGCATATTATTCAACTCGGGATATTATAAACACTTCCTTTATTATTAAAAAAAATCAAATAGGTTATGATAACACTTTGTTATCAACAATTAAGTACTGAGTATATTTTTCTCTTATTGTTTTCTGAAAGTCATAATACGACAAAAGCTTCAATTACTGCCGGAAATTTCTAAAGCTAAAGTGGTATGTGGTAAGAAAACTACAACGAAATGTTAAAACAATACTAAGGTAATAAGATAAAAGGTGAATACTCTTCTGATCAGCCTAACCTAACTAAATCTGAATACAACTAGTTCCTACGAATTACTTGAGAATTACCTATTGGTAATAAAAATCAACAAAGCTGATAATGTCGGTCATTGAATCGGTGACCTAGGCTATAGGATATCAACTGGACGATCGAACCACTATGAATAAATTTGTACACAGCCTAGAAAAATGCAGACGCACCAAAATACGCAAAGCAGCACTCGCCTAACCCTTCTGAAGTCTAGTATGTACCATCTACTATCTATACGTGAATTCTCTCCGTGGTCACCTGGTATAATTGATTAAAATCGTGGACATAGTGGTTTATGGTACTGGGTCATTCCGTATATTTAAACAGTTTCTACAGGGTTTATCATTAACTGTCCTACATAAACACGGATATCACCCATTTAAAATTATACCAGTGCAAAAGCTTACAGACAATCATAACATTGCAAGACAAGCATATTGTACAGAAATGATGCTGAGAAAAGACGAGGATAATAATTTTTTTAAGAAGGTTTTATGGACTGACGAGGCATCGTTTACCACCGCCGATGTTTATAATCGAAAAAGTACTCATATCTGGTCAACTCAATCTGGGTTCTCTAGCAGGAGATGGGTATTTGCAGTTATTAAACAATGAAATCGAAGATCTGTTGGAAAACCTCCCTCTCAGGCAGTATAATGAATTGATCTGGGATCAGGATGGCGCGCCACCGCATCAAGTTATGCCCGTACGGCATCACTTGAATGATCGTTATAAAACGTAGATCGGAAAATTTGGAACAGTGGAACGGCCGCCGAACAGTCCAGATTTAACACCTTTAGATTACTTCCTATCGGGCTATTTGAAGAATGAAGTGTATAAGGAAAGAAGTAGAAATTTGGCTGAATTGAGAGGAAGAATTTTGGAATGCATTAACATATTGAACAATCATCACTCCAACTTCATTTGCAATTCGATAAATAAATTGGATGAAGACTACAGAAAATGTATACAAAACAACGGTGGTCACATCGAACATCTGTGAAATTGCATCTCCTTCAGTTATAAAAGTGCTCTTTTTTTCTTTCATGGCAGTTGCGATTTCGTAAAATCTAAAATGTTCAAGCTCGAATATCTCGAAACCGGCTGAACCAAATATCAATGACCAATATATTTTTGGAATCAGGAAGAAAAGATCTTGAATTTTTTCCAAAAATATATAGGGTGAAAATAACGAAGTTGGTACCCATTTCTTATATCAGCGATATTCATTTGTTTCATCTGGTATAATTTTCTGGAGGTTCAGAACAAACCCTACAACTTTTGGCTTCGAAGTTTTTCTCTATCTTCAATGATGAACCCTGTAGAAGCTGTTTAAATATACGGAATAACCCTGTATATTGGACAGAAACAAATGTTTTTAGGTGTGAAATGTATAGACAACCATTGGATATCCAAGGCGAGCGCCCACCAGAGGAAAGGTAGAGCGGGCAGGTGTCAACCCGGCGAATGCTTCCACCTGTACCCCTCCTCAAAGTACGAAGCTTTCCAGGAGTACTCCCTACCTGAGATGATGCGCACTTCCCTAACCAAAATCGTCCTCGACTCCAAAGTGTTCAGCAACAACATGAACGCGTTGGAGTTCATGGGAAAGCTGCCGACTCCCCCCGAAAAGAACGCCATCAAGGCGGCAGTGGAAGAACTGACAGACTTGGCGTTACTGGACGAGGAGGAAAAGTTGACGAGTCTGGGAGAAACTTTAGCTGATTTCCAGCTGGAGCCGAAGCTGGGAAAAGCCATGGTCAACGCGGTAATTTTCAAGTGCGTTACGCCCATCGTGGATATCGTGACGCTGTTTTCTGCGGATTCGGAGTTGTTCGTGTCTGGCTTGATGGCCAAGGACGAAGCTAAGAGTGTCAAGACTCGGTTTTCGGGGAATAGTGACCATTTGGCCATGATGAGATTGTTTGAGAAATATTTGGAGTATAGCGCGGATGGGGATTTTGCAGGTGTGAGGCAGTTCTGCGAGTCCGCTAACCTGTTGTCCTATAAGATGGGTACTCTTGAAAGTAAGTTTGAGTAATTCAGTATTTTGAAATTATTTAGTTCAGTGCTACAAAGCGGAGACTGTGATTGAATAATATCACGTTAACTGCCACGTGAATCAAGTGTGTCTCGCAAATGACATGTTTCTATATGCCATGTGAATCATCCGTGATTCACGTGAAAACTATTGCATTTACATTTGTAGCTCACTGGCGATTCTCAGCAGCCTTATCAATATTCGGTAGTTGGAAAAGCCTGGCCTGGTGAGTCAAATGAGCTAGTTAGCATACTCAAAAGTTTGATTCCATTTTTATGAGACGTCAAATGCAAAGTTTTTCTTTTTCATCAATTCAGAACACAATCTATACTAGACATTTTTCAATGGAAACTGGATAAAGTTAATAAAAAATACTAATTTTAAATCGATGGTTCTGAATTATATGCATTATTAACGTGGCCTGCTATGCAATTTTGGTTAGCCTGGCCATGAGAGACACAAGTGAATCACTCACATTTTTTGGCAGATATCCACAAGTAATAAATATCCATCATCATTTTTACAATTCTGGGACTAAAATAAACAAATGTTTAGCTTAAAGCCCGAAATACAAGGAATCTACAGGGTGTTTTGGAGTTGTGGTGACAAAAGCCTAGGGCGATTCCTCTCAACAAAATATGTAAAAAAGTTCATATGAACATGGGTCCGGAAACGCTCAAGCCGATTTGAATGAAATTTGTATGGTTTATTTACACAATTATCAGACATTTACTGGACCAATTGAGCTCTTTTCTACCTTGAACGAGAGAGAGGAAAGTTGTCTCCTCTTCCATCATTCTCTTCAATGCTACCAATGTGGCCGCATTGAAATATAGAGGTACGATAAATCTTTCCTTGTCTAACATCTAGTTTGTGCCACTCAACTATTTTTGAATTCAATAGAGTGTCAAATCAACGATATTAAAAAAATATGTCAAAAAAGTATGATATAATCTTTAATTTCATTTCAAAAATTTGAGAGGTTATCAGTCAATGCCATTTATGACATACACATATCACATCATTATAATCTGAACAAACTGAAATATCTCACTAGAAAAACTGAATAAGTTATTTTGTGAAATTTTTAAAGAATTTGATTAGTTAGAATGCATGTAAACAGATTCAGTTCAGTCCGAGTGAAATATATCAGTTCCTGAAGGAAAGAATATCATAATTCGCGATAGAAAATAAGCGCACGCCACCTATCGGAGTTCTTGAAAGCAGCCAAAGCGGCATGGTTACTTTGTTTTCATTGGTTCACATATGTTTTTGGTTTGTGCTTATTGGTCACATCATCAAAAGAAACCGCTCAGAATTCAAGTTGTTACCGTCAGGTGGAGTGACGTGTTATTTTCTATCGCGAATAACATCGGAAATAGTTCAGTGGCGCAGACTAGAGGTTAGACAAGGAAAGATTTATCGGACCTCTCTAAATTTCCATGCGGCCAGGTTGGTAGCATTGAAGAGGAAGATGGAAAGGGAGAGAACTTTCGTCTAGCTCGTTCAAAGTAGAAGAGAGCTCAATTAGATTTGATCTAGAATTTTCAGGGGCGTACCTTTTTAGCAAATCTGTTTTTTTTTAGACACCTTGTGTTTTTTTTTCGGGGTTCTTAAATATTCAGATGAACCCACTAAAAATAAATTTCTGTCTCTTGCTGCAAAAAAACTGACAATACCATACATCGGCATTTCTCTGAACTCCATAAGGAAAAATAAAAATGCTTAGATATTATACAAAAATTTATTGCACATTATCATTGACGAGAATTAAAATGACATTATATTCACTACACTTTTTAAATTGTATATGATCTTCAAATTTTTTGAGACATATTTTTTCGAGATATTAATGAAAAACTCTCAGAAAAACTCTTTTTTCTTTTCGACTTGGATTTTTTTTTCATATTTCGTTGAGATAGCTTTTGTCACCACAACTCTGAAACACCCTGTATTTGAAAGATCCTAAATACGTATTTCCGCAATTAAGTTGTCATCATCAATAGCTTTTTTTGAATTGACTCGGCCGTTACTTGATGGAAATCCATGATAAATGTAAAAACTTAACAAACGATAAGATTTCCACAAAATTTTGTGGAAATCTTATCGTTTGTGAAGTTTTTACATTTATCATCAATAGCACTAAAAAAAATGACGATCAGTTGACTATAGTGTCTTTTGGAATATTCTACAGAAATTACCAGTGGTAGTTATTTTAACTAATGACAATATAGGTGTCAAAGTAAAACAAACAGAATAGGTCTCGTGCACGATGACCGACCCTGGAGGTTGAACATTGAAACACAACCTCACTTTTCTGTGAAACATTGAAACATAACCTCACTCTTCTTATTTGTTTACAAAGAAATCAAAGGATTGAAATAGTTTTTCACAATATTTTGGCATAGGAATCGTGTTTTTGGGCTATTTATCAATTCAAGCATGTCATCACATTGTGCTGTTGTACATACAATGCACAAAAAATTCAGCAAGAGACCAAGGAATATAATTTTTTAGGTGAATGGTGATCTCACATAGTTTTTATTATGAAATTTTGTCATTTCTCATTAGAATTCCTTCTGCCTCTTCTGCAATAGAAGCTAATACCACTGATAGACTGAAAATGTCTACAACTCACATGATCATATTTCGTCAGCATGTCAGACCAGTCTTACCGTTTGGTTGCATGAATCCAATCTTCTTGCTCTCTTTTAGAAACTTCAGAGTATTTCTATTACCTCCTATTTCAGAAGGAAATACAATGATAAAATACAAAATTTCAAAATCAAAACTATATCTGAATGACTATAGTACTTTCAAATTACAATGTAGGTACACACCTACCTGAAAAATCGAATTCCTTAGTACCACAGCAAAATTTGATGGCATGCTTGAATTAAAGAATAGCCGAAACATGATTCATTCCTATGCCAAAATAATTGTGGAAAACTATTCCAATCCTCTGTAGAGGAATAAGAAAAGTGAGGTTGTGTTTCAATGTTTTACATCCAGGGTCGGTCATCTGAGAGATCTTGCATGCAACCCATGGAACTAGGGATGTTACCTGAATCTTGATTTATTAGTTCATCTCTATTCTATTTTGATGAATATGATTACTTTCCAAACTGTTAACCAAATTCCCAATTTTTGTTATGTGTTCAAGAAGTGAAGTGGGCAATATGTTCTTCAAATAGTGTGCGTATGCTTCGACGTATTTGCCCAATGTATTCAATGTTACTGTCGTTACTGAACCTGACTCATCTTTAGTAACAATTCAATTATTATAAGAATACTGAATGGTATGTGTTTTTGCAGTAAAAGATACATCCAGCCTTTGCGATCTAGAAAGCAAAAATCGCTCTCTAAAGTCTAAACTGTGGAATCATAAGGTGTGAATAGAATATCCACAATCGCTATCGCGGCTGATTCATGGAGAATACCTTCATTTTCGTTTACTTGAGATGACAATCAAAGTGCGGAAATACGTGTTTCTGAAGATTTTTATGGTATTTTGGGTATATTGTTGTAAACTATTCGTTATTTGTGGAAAAATCAATTTTCAACATTTCTGAATTCAATGAACAAGACGTTAACAAAAGACGATTTTCTTTTTTCATTGCAGAGTTGAGGAATATACATTTTGACTACCTTCATGATGGTTTGAACAATGTGATACCCGTTTCTGATGATCACTCAGATAATGATGAACTAGTAAAAGCAGTTCTTTATTCTGGAGTAGGTAATGTTCTACAACACCGTGATTGGGATATTGTGAAAAATAGATTCAAGAATAACACCAATGTGTTATTGACAAGGTAAATAAAAACAGGACAGATCAATCACACAGGCTATGATTGTTTCAGATTATATTTTTGACTGTATTTTTGATCTTTAAAACTGACTGTCGCGGACTGTTTGGACGAGAGAAGAGTCATCTGACGGTATCAACTGGAATACTTCTGAGCGGTTTGTTCTGATGCTTTGACCAATAAGCACAAACAAAAAACAAATGTGAACCAATGAAAACAAAGTAAACAGGCCGCTTTGACAGATTTCAAGAACTCCGATAGGTGGCGTACGCTTATTTTCTATCGTGAATATCCTTTATTATTCATATTAACAAGATAAACCATCCTTTTGAGAGCAATGAAGCCAGAAATTCGATTCAGTAGGTGGAGATATCTATGAACAACAAGGTGAATGACTTCTTTTTGAGTAGCGAAGGGTAGAAATCGGTATTGCAGATTCGAAGTTTATTTTTAGATGTTTTAATGCAAGAAGGAATATCGCATCAGGGTCGGATTAATAGTACATTATACATCAAGGGACAGAAATGCAAGATTGTTTCCAAGGTGCGATTTGTAGTTCGAGGGCGTAGCCCGAGAGATACAAAGCACCGAGGGAAAAATAGCATTCTGTCCTGAGGTGTATGTACTATTTTTTACGCTGGCGAAAACACAAAAATTAAGAAAGGATAAAAGTTTGGTCAAAGTGTTTTGTCATGATTAGTAGTTGTATAGTTTGTGGAATTTGTGTCTTGACAACATGCATCTTGTTGACAACCCATAGTGCCAGCGAATATCAAACTGAAATTTATGAAAATAGCTTCGAAAATGGTTAAGGGTCATGAAACAAGAAATCGAGGGAAAATCCCAAGAAACTTGATACTGCTTCTGCAGTGATTCTTAACTTGCTACCAGTGAGATCTAGAAATCTGTATGATGCAGCTTATACTCGCTTCAGAGAAGGGTGTTCCGAAAAGTTGGTATAAACTCCCTAGGGAGAAAATATGTCACATTATCTCCCTAGGGAATTATACGAGACTTCTGCCCCTCTTTTGTTACCAGAGAAACTAACTTCTACTCCCGCCGGCGTAAAAAATATTTTTATTAGTTTCGCCAGCGCCGCCTACGAACCAGCCAAGAACTATGGCCAAATTTTGCTTCAACATTTTACATGGAGGTGAACGATCTTGTTAATGTGCATAATCAAGGATAATGGTGGCCAGGTAGCCGTGCGGACAGAGTGTCTATATTCTAATTCGCATTCGCTTGCCGGTCGTGGGTTCGATCCCCGTCGACTGCAGAAATTTTTCTGATGGCCCAAGAAAGTGTTTGGGATCACACGTTAAAAGGTAAGGCCCCCGTCATTCCTTGCTCGCACAAGACTTTCGAAGACTTTTGAGGGTTGTTCGTAAGGGGGCAACCGAATGACGGATAGAACAAATTTTAGAACAAAAATTTAATATACCAGGTGTCAATGAAGTCATAACTTCAGGAGAATATTAGGTGTAGGTGTATCAGAATGAGATTTGGAATAGGTAAATGGTATGGGAAGACTAGAGTTTTCGCATATTTTTCACTTTCTGGTCACTCTCTGTTTCACCGGAAGTAGCTCAAATGTTGAATATTTTTATGGAACACATACCCTGTATATTGTAACATTTCTGGATGCCTGAGACAATAGTTGCGTTTTATTTATCCGATTTCGCCATCGGAATCACTCAATGTGTCGTTTTATTTGCAACTTTTCCGATTCCTGTGGCTACTTTGCATTCCGTCTCTATACAAGGAATGACTAGAAATGACTGTTGACAGTTGTCAAAAAAATTATTTAGATTGACGAAAATCGAAACTTTTTGAAAGTAAAAAATATTCAGGAAAAAGACATTTATATACAAGTTTATTCTTTCAAGTAAGACAGGTTTCATATATGTTCAATCTCTCGATCTCAGAGAAGTTTCTTCTCCAATCACCACAATCACTGCTCAATATATATGCGTTGATTTATTTTCTAGATTCTTAATTCTAGTATTCTGATTAATTATGAAATTATTCGGAGCCCCATCATCTACAGGGTGTTTCGAAATTCGACCGACAACGCTTGACAGGTGATAGCCCTCGTGATTTCATAATCACTGAGATAGGGACAGACGGTCTTGAAGTGTTCAGTTCTCGAGATACAGGGCGTTGAAGTTAAGAAATTTAAATAGTTTTTTCGCAATATCTCAAGAATAATTTAATATAATGCATTCAAATTCGGTATATGGTTTCATCTTTCACTGATTAATTTCTTGACCAGAAAGACATTCCGAGAATTTTATCCAGAGATGCGCTACAGAGGGTTGTGATAACTTTTCCTCCCATATTTTCTACGCCACTGATGAAATTTCAATTATTTCCAATTTCTCGAATTGTTTGTTCAGTTATGTTGAAAAAATGCATCACCTTCAACTGAGCTAAAATGAACAGTTATCGGGATATTTGACCCAAAATAGAAGTATGCATAGTAATTTTTGTCATCTTCCTCGGTAGTAAAAAATTACGAAAATTTTTGTTTTCTCTTCATGTGTGGAATAACTATTTCTGTTCAGCTATGGAATGAGATCTGAATAGTATCTAATCTACTCAACACCAGAAAAATATTTTTGCAATTTTCTACTACTGAAAATGATGAAATATTACTATGCAATCTTCTATTTTGGGTCGAATATCTCGAAAACTGTTTATTTCAGCTCAGTTGAAGGTGATGCATTTTCTGAACAAAATTGAACAATGAATTCGAGGAATTGGAAATAATCGAAATTCAATCAGTGGCGTAGAAAATATGGAAGGAAAAAATGCCACAACCCCCTGTAGGGCACCACTGGACAAAATGTCCGGAATGGCTTCCAGGTCAAAAAATGGCCCATTCAAAGATGAAACCATATACCGAAGTTGAATGCATTATATTCAATTATTCTTGAGATATTGCGAAACAACTATTTTCATTTCTCAACTTCAACGCCCTGTATCTCGAGAACTGAACACTTGAAGACCGAATGTTCCTATCTCAATGATTATGAAATCACGAGGGCTATCACCTGTCAAACGTTGTCGGTCGAATTTCGAAACACCCTGTATATTATGTCAATTATCTTATGCAAGGTCATGAAGTTTCTCGTTTTATATGTAAACGTCATTCTGTTTCCACCAGTGCTACCAGAATGGATCGAATAAAACGTAACTATAATGATCCTGAGACGATTCTGAAGCAGAATGTGACATTTTCAAAAGTTTTTATGCATCTAGGTGGCCATAATCTGAACTAATCTTAGGACCTCGGGTGTTACCAGAAAATTACAATCGCGAAGTTTTAGTGACTAATATGATAGATTGAAATAAGAAAACTTGGCAAAATTACATTGTCCTGTCCAACTATCTTTCATCTGATAATTGATATCAACCCTTTCAAGTTAATCCGGTACACCTCATTTTAATGTAGATATTGTGCCTAATTATCGAAAATGGAGGTTTATCGATCCTGTCCACAGGTAACTAATCCTTCAAGTTGGGAAAGTATGATATATAAAAGTTAAGCAAGCCAACGTTGGTTTAGTTCATTGTACCAGTATATCACCTGACGAAGCTACTGTGTTAGCAAAACATGTTGTGTGTTTAAGAATTGTGGAAATCTTATCGTTTGTGAAGTTTTTAAATTTGCCATGGATTTCTATCAAGTATCGGCCGTCAATTACAAAAAGAAAAAAATGAGTGACTAAAAAATTTAGTAGGCCTTAAAACTCTCTGAAATACCGCATTCTGATCAAAAATTGTCTCAGAAATTCAAAAATGTATAAATATACAGGGTGTTCTATTTTAATATTCAAAACCGGTGAAACTCTCCTCTTAATATACCATTCGCCTATACCAAATTTCATTTTGAAATACCTAATATTCTAGAAGTTATGACTTGACTAATAAATTCGTTGACACCCGGTATTGAGTTACATTTTCAAGATATCAATTCTGATAAATGTGGAATTGCTCTTTTGGATGGTTGTTTTAATGATTTACGATTTGCGGTCTGTTTACCTTGTGTTCATTGGTACACATTTGTTTTTTGTTTGGTCACATCCATCAAAACAAACCGCTCAGAAGTGTTCGAATGTTGCCGTCAGGTGGGGTGACGTGTTATTTTCTATCGCAAATAGTGTTTCCTTCAAGTTTCTGGGCCGTGATTTTAGTGTGTCAAAAACACTTGTGCAGAAATCTGTCCTTTCATTTTGGCATATGTGAACTTGATTATATTTATTCAACTGAAATCATAAGTACAAACATATTGTGAGGACAAGAACTCTTATTAGTTGATAATAATTAACGTTGCTACACTAATCTTCACCTCAATCTGAACCTCTAGAAAATTGTACTAGGTGAAACAAATGAATATCGCTGATATAAGAAATGTATTTCAACTTCGTTATTTTCAATGGAATTTTTCTATATTTCTCTTCTGATTTCAAAAATATATAGGTTGTTGATATTCGGTTCAACCGATTTCCAAATCGCTAGGCGAGTGGACTAATTTTCTTTTCATTTCTCAAATAGAATCATCATCCAAATACCTTTCAATTTCATATTTTTCAAGAATTTTTGATCGATTTTTAGGTGCTAAAATCATTAATAATGCCACGGTAATTTTCAAACGGCTAGAAATTTACCGCCAGTAAAAACTGACGCCACGATTTCGTAAGTAGGGGCAGACCATACCACATTTGCCACGTGTTGAAATACGAATGGGAACTTCAGAAATATCAGTTATTCAATAATTCATAATTTCTCAATTGAGTATTGGTAATACTCCTAATTAGCAATAAAAGTTCAATTTTCTCAAAATGTTTACTTATGATTTGTGGCTCATTGCTTCTAATAAATTTGTGTGAATAATAAATATATTGATTCACACTAGAGGAAATTTGAATCGGTGAACGTGACAAACACGGCGCACGACTTGTGGACGTGGTCTTGTCAGTTCTCAGCATTCAGCACAATGTTGCCAATTCTCAAACATTCACATGATATTTTGTTATGGAGAATAAGAAATATTTTGACATGCTGGTTGCTCGAAAAAGTTGAGAATGAACTACACCATCATGGGTTCTATAGTATATGTATTTGACAATTTAAATTAGCCGCCTCAATGTTATACGCGCAGGTCGTCCCCCTTACATACAAAATAACTATAGGTTAACATATGTATCAAAATGGACGAACTACTACCACTTGTGATGCGTTCTTCAAATAAACAAAATCGAATTATATTCTTGTTTAATTGAACCATCAGATAATAGTAAATTGTGAAATAATTTAGTAAAGACAACACAGGTTCCTCGTAATATGTTTTATTCAACGACAGGACTTTAACATCTTTTTGATAACTTGATTATAATTGGTGACTTGAAAACCTTGCTTCATGAGTGGAAATGGAAGATTAAAAACTGACGCCACTATTTATTCGACGTATCGCCAAATGGCGGCCATGACATTACGTTTGAAATGAGCTCTTAAACTCAACGATTTTGAACAACGCATATACTTATTATTTACATAAAAAAGAGTGAGAAGTGTTGCAAAAATTTATTCAGGTTCTTAACGACACAGTGGAGTTGATGAATGCCAAATATTCATTATCAGTCCACTCGCCTATTGCCATGAAGAATCAGCAACACATATAAGTTGTATCAGTTTGAATAGTTGGATCAAAATTTTTTTTATGAATATATCTACCTATAGTTCTTTATTCATATATTCTCTATTTTTAAGGGTTAAGTGGGAGAGCATTATCTGGAAATCCTTGATTTACAGGAAATGAACTTCGCCCTTTATTTCCAGTTATATTATTTATAAGATTGATGTTTATTTTATGTATGGAAATAATAAAGACTATATATCATTATTATATTATTATATATGCGGTTTGTTGATTCTTCATTGGAACTGCAATTTGGTAAAACCAAATTGTAACTAAAAAATGTCCAACTTCGAATATTTTGAAAACGGCTGAACCGAATATCATCAATCTGTATATTTTCTTTTTTTTTTTTCGGTGTTTTCACGTATCATCTTTGTTTCAGGCATAACCAAAAAGCTACCATTGCCGCAGAAAGTGTGAATTATAAGAGAAATAAGTTCCCATCGGATTATCTATTGTATATAAATGAAACTAGATCTAATATTAGGAGAACAACAATAGTACGAGAATGTAGTATCATTTCTAAAATATCTATGTTATTATTTTCAAATCATAATTTGAAAATACAAGAGGTGAGATGTTCAAGTTTTTTTAATTCAAATGATAATTTTCAATCCATTTCTAGATGAAGGATGTTGTCGATTCAGAATCGGAAAACCAAATACAGTTAGTACTAGAGGGTACTAATATTAAATTGATCTGTGATAGAATGTGAGTATGCAATTAGTTTCAACTTCATTATTTTTTAGAGATAATTTATAGAACAGCACAAAGTAGAATATTTTTCCTATTGATCAATTTAATATACTGGATCTCCTCCTCTAGTGTGACATTCTAATTCCTATCCTCCATTTTAAGGGACCTCCAGAGATTTTTCAAACTAGGTGAAGACCCGGTCATAATGTGCTCCATTATTTTTTCAAATATTATCATTATATTATTTGTAGTCTTCAATAATGATTGAAAACCAAGAATACAGTGGTATCTCTTTAGCATGGGTGGAAAAAAGACGTCGCATCAAAAACAGTCAAGTGGCACTCAATCATTGTTGAAGACCAGTTACCTATAACAGGATATCACAGTCATAATATTTCAATTTTTTTTGTTACTTTTTCAGGCATGCTGAGGAAATTATCAAGTGTAAACGTGCACTTATGTCTAGTTACCGTTATTTTGTTTCACAATTAACAAAACCTGCAGAGAGAAATGAAGCAGCCAGTAAAGCATGGAATGATATTCTGAACTTGGTGACTCAGATTTTAATTGAGAATGGTGTGAATGATAGGCGATAATTTCCGTTGCCAATGTAATCACCAAAAGACAATTATTTTCCATTGTTGTGAGATATTCAAAAGTATTTTTTATCCCATACAATAATGAAAGAAACTGATATAATTGAATTTATATGTGTATGATATGCCACCCTAAATATAAGGTATATCTTTACTCAAATATCAGTTACTTTTGCTCAAGCAGGTAGTATACCTATGTATATGCATCAAAGTTTGTATATAAAATGTTTGAAAAATCTTTTTTCTTTGTATTTTTCTTTAAAAATACATATCTACTAATGGAGTTCATTATCATCAGCTTGTAATAAACCTCCATTGAAGTGAAATTGTACTTCCAGCAATATGGTCTGTGTAAAGAAACAAAAAATGCGCCACAGGTGAAATATTTTTGGAACTGACTTTCAATTTATTCCAGCAAGAGTTACGAATGTTTTTTCCCCCAGTTTTGAACGTCATCGGCACGTCAGATGATTACCTTTAAAACCGCGATCGCGGTCGCCAAGGGGTAATTTGGGTAATTAGATGATGACATTCAAAACTACGGGAAAACATCCTAACTCCTGGCATGAATTGAAAGTTAGACATGTTTTTCCGTAGTTTTCAATGTCATGTCAACGTCATCTTATCTAGTCCACGAGCCGGGTCGGTTTTTATACCTTGAACCCCCGGGCGATTCTCAAGTTTTCTTCAGGGTTGGTCATGAAAACATATCCTTGCCGAAAGTATTTATTAATATTCAATAACCAGGTGCAATATCTACCGTTTTCTCCAGGACACATAAAAATACCGCTAGATGTGCATTCCAATGACAACCAGGAACACTCACTGTGACGCGTCCGATCCTGCTGCAACCCCCATGTCACAGTGGCGCTACAGGGGGTAGCAAAAACGCGTTAACTACCTTTTCAACCCGAACAAAAAAAACAAACTAAAATTATAGATAAGGACTAGATGAACACAAAAAAAAACAACTGTGCCGACTTTCATATTGCCGGAAATCCCCGGCACAGTGGGGCGAATCAGCAAGTGTTGGAGACAATTTTTTGTATCACTGATCGAGCCTATGTGATCGAGTTAACCGATAATTTTGCACATAAATCGAATCTACTGACATTTAATTGGGACATATACCGGGTGATCAAGATTCTGAATTCTGCACCACCCTGTATTTGTTTCAATTAAATGTCAGTAGATAGTTGATCAAAAGTTGAGATAGGGACATGTGAGCCGTTTTGACCAATTATGAATGGTTTAGACACAAAAAATTCTTGAACTTGGAAAATCTCGATTTCTCACACCCTATATCTCAGTAGTTATAACTGCTGACCCCGAGTATGATGGATTGTTGAAATCAGCTCACCAGGGAGAATCTCAAAATGAAATAATATATAGGGTGTTCGATTGAAAAAAGTTCAACTTTAGTATTTTGCGGTTTTTGGGGACACCCTGTATGTTTTGAAATAATTTCAAATAGTAGCCTATGTTGACATGCAACTTCCTAGAGAGGAAGAATTCCAAGAAGATAAGTGGTTATCCTTCTAGAGACCGAGGTGTTACTGGTGGCCCACCCTGTATATTATGTACTAACTAATTAAGTGTTCCCAATATTTCGTTTTACATTTCTTCATCATAAAGTATAGATATCTTTTCATCGAAATTACACAGGAGAGTGCCGATGTGTATAGGTATGATGAAGTCTGGTAAAGCGCGGATTCATTTTATTGGCCTGGCTGACGGCTGTGCCGGCTGGATTATCAGTTGAATGATTTCAATATACAATACAAAGGGCCGATGTAGTCAAATGACATCACGATTTGATACTGCTGGTCCATCAGTGCTGGCTGAATTATGGATAAACGATTACAATATACCATACAATGGGCCAACGTTCGCCCGTTGTAGCTCAGCCGTTGCCAGCATTCTGCCGACTGATCATGCATTTAATCAGGGAGCCGTCGCCGCGTGGGGCGATAGGTGCTCCAATTGACATATTGGACAGACCATACATAGACTATATGAATTCGAAATATTTTCATTCCTCAGAATTCACAGGTACTTGATGTTATCTCTGATATAAATGACGGTATGCGATATTGAAAACTCGATATTGATCGGTGTATTTAGGTAATGTGAAATTCTCGATTTGAATTTTCTATTCTTACATCGGCGGCCCTCCTACCAAATTTCAAAATTCAGAATACGGATCTAGATTTTGATTTCTAGCAACATTCCGACGTAGGTGGTTGTAACTATATAAAAAAATCACTGAAAATGTTTGAAAACATCGCCATATAGGCGGCCTCTATCATGAAAACAAATATCGGGTATTGAACTCTAGAAAGTGATGCACTCTCATTAATCAGGCATAAATGAATATAATTTGTTCATACATAGGCCAGTAGCCAGAGAGCAACAATTTTTTTCCTTCGCAGGTAATATATTTTTTTGGAAAATACTGTGGAAGCGTAAACTGTAGGGGCTGGTCAAAATTGATTCCCTATTTATTTATTCATTCATTTATTTATTTATTGAAAATGTAACTTCCAGTCAGAATCAAGTTCTGTTATTAGAATGGTTTGTACATCACGGACATTTTTGAATTATATACAGGGTGATTCAAAAGTAAGCGGCATCCTTTCAGAGGCGTATTCCTTGCTTGAAAATAAGGCAAAAAGTTCCTATTGATAAGGATCCGAAAATGCTTCCTAAGGGAGCTACGGCCCTTTGAATAGGACACCTCAAAGACGGTTTTTTCTCTATAACTTTAAAATCCTTCACAACAAATTTTTAAAAATTAGTGTACGGCATAAACATTCGATGGTAAATAGGACTCCGTATTCGAAATTTCAGAATTTCATTCAGGGGCGTCACATGCGGGAGAGGGTAAGTGTAAAAATATCCCTTCTTCTCCGGATATTCAGGTTACTGTGATTTCGTTTGGAAATTATTTCGAATACGGAGTCCTATTTACCATCGAATGTTTATGCCGTACACCAATTTTTAAAAATTTGTTGTGAAGGATTTTAAAGTTATAGAGAAAAAACCGTCTTTGAGGTGTCCTATTCAAAGGGCCGTAGCTCCCTTAGGAAGCATTTTCGGATCCTTATCAATAGGAACTTTTTGCCTTATTTTCATGCAAGGAATACGCCTCTGAAAGGATGCCGCTTACTTTTGAATCACCCTGTATATATCAGATTGGAATTAACCACCATAGTTAAAATCGTTCTGATTGGTCTAAAAATGTATGCCTACCAAAGTCGTGGTTGTTTGAATTCTTGCGTTGTTGATGTAGATTGCAAAGTAGTGGATTTTGTTCTTATTGGGTTGGCATTCGTGACGTGACGTGTGACGTTGTTGGAAGTTGGCATTTGGCAATTGGCAACATTGAACAGTTCTTTTATTTATCAAGATGGCTGATCAGGCAAGTTAAACCTTTTTCTGCTAATTTTATTATAAATTATTCCGAATTTCAAAAGATTTTTTACTTTTCAGAGTCATGTAATAATACTATATAATTTCGTTATTCATCAGGTTTTTCTTTTGTAGTTTACCCGCGCCCCTTTACTTGAGTTTGGTCAATGTTTTGTTCGCACGTGGGCCCACTGTATTTCCTGTATGTTTTATCGGATTCTTGAATTTTACAGAACGAAAGAGCATTCCAGCGTCAACCTACGATTTTTCTGAATCGTAAGAAAGGCTTTGGCCCTAAAAGGCGTAAATCTCTACGCTACCATCGTGAAGTTGGGTTAGGATTCAAAACACCCCGCGAGGTACATATTTTTGCTTTACTCCACTAACATATTTTTTTTTCGTGTGTAGACAGAGAAAGCCTTCCAAAAACAACCGACCGTGTTCCTGAATCGAAAGAATGGAGGCAAGAAAAAGTTGAGGTTGTCCCGTAGTGTTGGACTAGGTTTCAAAACCCCTAGAGAGGTTTGTCAATTATTTCAGATATAACAGTTCCTGGTGGTATCCTGGTTATGGTGCTGGAGCTTCTGGTTCTTAAGGATTGGTGGAGCTTAACTTGTTAATGAAAGTATACCTTCATAGAATTACTTGGGCATGTTTATTTTGATCCTTTTCAACATTTAATGTGATGTGAAGCTCTGATTCTCAATATGTTGTCCAAAGTTCAATGCAGAATCTAATTTTTGTTATGGTAGGTACTTGGTATATGTTAGTTAGGTAATATGATAAAAACAAGGTGAATCTTTTAATGGGACACAGTTGACAGTTCTGCAAATTCTGATGCTTATGAGATTCAATTTATTGAAGGTATATTTTCATTACATTATTCACAGAAACCACTATTTGAGACACTTAGTTCAAATCTAATTTAACATTTCATTTTATATTTTCATGATACAAAATATGGATTGATATGCCATATTAAATTTTTCTAGTGGCCTCAACTTTGGGTTTGAATATTATGCTTTTACAATATTATTACAGCAACTGTAGGAATAACTGGAATTTGAGGAATTCAGAACTGAATTATTTCAATGTGGCATCATGCAAATATCTAGCAAAATTGAACTACTAGATGCTCCTTTGCCCTACCAACATGTACAAACCAATCAAAGTAACATTAGAGAGGAAATAATGTTTTAAATGGATGCATGCCTAACAAGGACAGATATAGTTTTTGTCCAATCATCAGCTAGTAGCCTCAAGTCAAAATCATTGGTTGGCTTAGTATGTTTCTTTAGATCCATTTAAAATATCAACATGTCAGATTAGTTGCTAAACATCAAAAAGATTCTCAGTTCTTAAAATTCAATATATTATTTTGCATTGACTTGCATGTTGAATACTGATTTATATTATCATGTAGAATAGCATCTTGAAATGTTTTCCCAACTTTACTCAACCATCAGATGATTTTGTTAGGCTCTTATTTTGTTTTTTGCAATCCACCTTAGGTTTTCAATTCTTCTCTCTAGGCATCATCTTGTAGTTTAATATTATTAGATATTATTAGATCTTTGGCATCATGTTTTTCAACATATTTGACATTAACCCCTATGAATCTTAATTTTATAGTGCAATATTCTGTACAAGAATCAAAATTGGAACTTATAGCAGCCATTGACAAAGATTTCATCAAAATGTCATGTTTCAAGTTGCAATCCTGATTTTTTTACAGAATATTGTGCAAGATAATGAGTGTCACCTTTACTTTTGGAAATAGTTTCACTTTTACTCATTATTGACAATATTTTGCTTGGGTAGGGTCAGACATTCTGTGCTATTTGTTGGCAGCAGTTACTATCAAATTTAGCATCATCTATCAATGATGATTAGTTTGGAAAATGAAGGATACAAGAGGTTACTCTTGTTCACAGAAGATGAGGTATTCTTCATATAAATATTTGATAATCGAAATCAACCTTTGATAAAATATGGTGCAAAATAGCAATTTCCTAGTGTATCTCTGAAAACATTCTTTTTCTGTGATGGAAAAAAAGTTTGTTATTTCACTCTGTTGACAGGTTATAAAATGTCACTTTCAATGAATTTTTTCTCACGGGAAGAAAGTGAGTACTTTTTTCCCGGATATATATCACATATACAGGGTGATTCAAGTTTTGAGGCACAAACTGAAATGTGTGATAGATCTCATCATTTTAATAAAAGAAAAAAACGAGTCCGATCAGTAGAGAAGCTACAAGAGGTCAAAGATTAATTATTTTTTTCTATTGATTGAAATATCTTGCTCATTACTGAGGTTATCAATTTGAAATTTAGTGAGGTTGTTGCTTCCTAGAAGATCATCATTTTAAGCAGTTTGAAGCTTTTCAAAACCTACAGGGTCATACATTTTTGGAGGTGCATGCTTCTTTATGTCACTAAAAATGTTTGCTGGTACACCTCTGACATCATCTAGTTACCGGATTATGTGAATTGTTCAATTTAGAGACTTATTCCTCCTCAATTTTTTTGAGAAACGTACCGTTTTCGAAATAAATTAACATATCCCTTCTAAAACATATTGATTTGTCTATATTTCGCTTAAATTTTAGTCTTGAAGAAAATTCAATCAACTTCAAAAAATAATAAAACCTTTACTTTCTACCCTTCGTATCCCCGCTACTGATCCAGTTTGTAATTTTAGTACATTTTATTGCATGTTCTGCGAATTTCATCCAATAATAAAATTTGAGCGAAACAGTATAGGCAAAATTAACATGTTTTTAGAACAGATATGCTTATTTATTCTGAAAACGGTTGATTTCTCGAAAAAGATTGAAAGGCAAAGAAAGCCTGAAATTGAATGATATATTAAATTTCTTAACTGCAAGATGTCGTACTAAGAAAAAGTTTGTGGGGGATAAGGAAGCCTCTACCCCCAAAAACGTATCACCCTGTAGGTTTTAAAAATCTATGAGATGCTTAAAATGATGATCTTCTAGGAAATATCAAGCACAGTAAAATTCTACTTGATATCTTCAAAAGTGGGCGAGATATATTAATAGAAACAATAATTAAACTTCGACCCCCTGTAGCTCCGCGTCTGATCGAGATCGGACTCACGTTTATAAAATTTCAGTTTATGTCTTGAAATCTGAATCACCCTGTATATACACTGTTGATGGCTTTTGTTGTGCTAGTTCTGAAAAATAAGCCAATAACACCGTTTCCTAAAAAGAACTCCAAGTCCTTTTACCATCAATTTCACTTCACGGTTATGTAAATTACTAAACAACCACTAAGTTCGCAATTTTTTGAAATCAAATCACATAATTAGTCTGACAAATATTCCATTGCTTCAAAAGAATGATAAAGATGCCTGCAATGTAGGTGTAATTCCTGTTAAAAACTTTGCACGGCGATAATTTTCTGATTTTAATATAATGTCATATCTTCTCAATATTGATTCCTACTTTTCACTGTCTCAGTGTATTATACACAGAAAGAATATTAGTTTTGGCTTACCTTTTTTGTCTCCCTCCGTTTCGCGTCGGCTGACAACACAACCTTCAGCTAAAATCTACTTTTTTTCTTGTATGATAAATAACTATATTTCGTGACGATCTCTGATGATTTCACCATTTTTGATAAGGGAATATTTTCATCTTCTTCATCATGATCACCCACTGATTCATCCATAGAGAATTGAGCAATATGCACTTGTCTCAAGAATATTTTATTTTATTCAGAGCTTCGGCCGAAACAGTTATAGCCGAATACCGAATAGTTGAAAATTGGCCGGATCGACCGAATACCGAAGCTTCCGTGCATCCCTATTTGACACCTTTGTAGCCAACCTCGTAGTATGAAATGTCTAACCCTCGAAAATATGGTCAATTCAGTTGAACCAATTATCTAAATTTTATGAAAATAATAATTATGTTCTGAATTATTTGGTCTATATTCCTTTCAGTTGTTTGTGGTGAATGTTATGGACATGGGATAAATTAACCAAGTATTTTATTATTATTATTCTTTATTAGTGGGTTAAGGTTGCATGAAAAGGATTTGAGGTTACAATATTACATGTTGGAATAATTATTATTGGCTCTGTTGTCAAAGAGTATGTTGTACAATTACTTTTTGACTTGATTGAAAAGTGTTTTGAAATGGCGGCGAATGAAGATAATCTCTCTTTATCAATTCGAAAATAGCGGTTCATCTATGTGGATCTCCTACAAACCTAATTTATGGGGATTGTACAGGTTGAATAAATCTTCTTTGACAAAAATGGAATGTGATAGATATTCGAGCAATGTTAAGGACATACTAGTCCATGTACTCCTCAAATAGGGTACGTTGAGGAGTTACAGGGTGCTGAAATCATCAGGGCCTAATTTTTGCAGAAAAAAATTCATTTTGCTTGATTATTTGGGATTTTCTTTCGTTTCTACAAAATGAAAGTTTGTTAAATGCAGTGACATTCTGGGGCAAATCATCTGATGTAAAAACTTCACAAACGATAAGATTTCCACAAAATTCTCAAACACACGACATGTTTTGCTAACACAGTAGCTTCGTCAGGTGATATACTGGTACAATGAACTCTCATCATCATCATCTGATAATGTAATTTACCAATTCATTTTTTTCATGAAATAGGCAGATATGGATCAATTTGAAAGAATTTCTGACAAACATACACTTGATGACTTGATGATATATAATGGAAGAACTAAATAACCCTGAAACTTTACAGTGTCCTGTATTTCCTTGACCTAAGGGGTAAACTAGTATGTTCATAATATTTCTCGAAAATCTATCAGTTCATTTACAGGAAATGAAGTCATACTGTGATTTTAAAACTCATTTGAACATGGTGCCCAGTCACTATTTCGGATGTGAGAGTTTTTATTTGCACCATAGAGTAATATTCATTCTCATGGAATTGAAAAATTATAAAAATATCAAATTCCTCAAAACAAACCATAAGAAATATAGGGTCGGTTGAAGTGTAGCACAGTTGCGCAATTTTATGCAGAAAAAAATGCCGTTTTAAAACTGAAAATTACAAATACTTGACAATAACCACTTTTTCTCCCTTACAAGTTAGCGTTTTAAAGTTTGACAACCGATGTTTCGTCTTCCAGAATCTATCAACTCATTTCTTTCAAAACGGATCTGGATTTTTTGTTCCATATTTTCTCACTTTTGGATGGACCAGAAGCTATGAGCTAACACAAATTTTTATTTTTCGAATGTTTTGTCTACAAAAATTGGCAGTTCTGTATTGAATATCAAGAAAAATACTGACACAGTAAATGTTTGTAAACAAACCATTTGAAAATAGAGATTTGTGATAGCTCATAGCTTTTGGTCTGTTCAAAGTTGAGAAAACATGAAAGTCCGTATTAAAAAAAAATGATTATGGTTTCTGGTAGACGAAACGAAACTTGTAGGGTGGAAAAAGTAGCCATTATTAAGTGTCATTCATTTTGATCAATTTCTTCAAATAATTTGAAGAAAAAAAAACAAAAGGTATAGGAATTTATTTTTTTCTGCGACAGTTTTCGAGATTTTCCTGGTTTCAAAACGGCATTTTGTCATAGATCAACCGACCCTGTTTCTCTTACGGTTTACAATAACCCAATGATGAGTATTTGATTCCATTCACCCTGTACACCAGCATCCAGCAATTATTGAACATTTCTATTCAATATAAAACCTGGAACTGATAGATTTTTCTGAACAAACATTCATTATTTCAATGGGATTATATTTGAAACAAAATCCTTTTCATGCATTAACAATAATCATAGTAATTTGAAAAAACTGTTGAGTCAAATTTAGGCTTGCTTCTATGTCGTCATAAAATGTGGCTTCAAAAAATACATCAAAAATTGATACAAAGTTATGATTTCTCATCTCATACCCATACCTAATATTCATAATTTTTTTGTATACATGTCCTATTAACCTTTGATGCTATGCCTCTTTCTTACTAACAGTATTTCATCGAGGTGTGTTTGCTCAAATCCTAATATTTTGACACTAAATATCGACTATATTTCTATGTATATTTATGTTTTTTTAATCTATGGAACAACCCTGTATAGTATACGTAAAACTTCAATTCCAGTAATTGTTCTGAACTTCTATTCTATTTAATTTATGTGGATTACATTCCTTACCAAAAATATAATGTAATAATACTGAAGATGAATCAGTTACAGATGAAAATCAACTTTTTATTATAGTTAGTTGCATAAAAATCCAAGACAAAACGTAACTGTCCAATCTTTGGATATTATTATTCCTTACATAATACCTATACCTTATACACATTCAATCCTCTGGTGATATACTGAAAATAATTCTTTCTCAGGCCATTGAAGGTTCATACATTGACAAGAAATGTCCATTCACCGGAAATGTGTCTATTCGTGGTCGCATCCTTACTGGGGTTGTCCAAAAGATGAAGATGCAGCGCACCATCGTCATTCGTAGAGATTACCTGCACTACATCAGAAAGTACAATCGGTTCGAGAAGAGGCATCGTAACATGTCTGTACATCTTTCTCCCTGCTTCAGGTTAGTAAAGCATTCAAAAATATCTGATGAACATTCAGAGGACATCAGACTATTTATGAGCTGTAAAATTGTTGATAATCTTCTCAACTAAACATATGGTGCAGTATTACGTTAACATCTTCTGTGTTGGTGAACAGAGCATTATTGAGGACACTACTTGTTATCCCAAGTGGGATAAAAATCATCTCAAATGAATACACTGTTCTCTTCTCACTCTACACTAGCATAACAAGACAGTCTGTGGCCGCCCAAGCAAGACAACCATTGTGGTCTCCTCTTATCCCAAAGAAAAAAGCTAGTTGAAATAAAACTAAAAATCATTATAATAATTTTCATGATACCCTCCCGACACATTTTTACCGAAATTGTTACTCAACAATAAGTTTTTCTTATGACACCCAGAACAGTATTTAACTATATCACGATGATGTCTAACCAATATTCCTAAAATAGTAGGGATTTTCTTAGTCTTCAAATTAACGAGAAATTTCATCTTGAACATCACATGGTTTTACTTTGGGCAAGAAAATTTTAACAAAGGAGGAACTTTACAAAAGGGGTCTTGCAGGAAATGTTTTTTCCCAACATTTTTGTTAACAAAATAATAGCTTATAAATAGCAACAGTGATACAAAAACAGATGTTGATAAAGTGAATATCCCCAATCAGCTAGTGCAGGTCTTGGGATCATTTAATCCTAGATGGTGAAGTATGCACTATTTACAAATAGGAAAGAAAATTCAGTATATAATAATAAAATGATTCATTTGAAATACAACTTGTTTTTAATATACCGGGTGGCTACGGAAGTATTGCCTACGGAATATCTCAGTTATTGTATGAAGTAGGTTTGTGAAATTTGAAGCGTCGATATAATGACATAAGAGCTAGAATTTGGGCATATTGACATGTCGGAGTTAACTTCCGGTCTGACCGGAAGTAACATCAACTTTCTTATTTTAAATGGAAACCCTATTTTTTTTCTTTTCGCTTTATTCAGCATTCAATTCCCGTTCTAATGACATATCAAAAGTTGGTATCTAACCAGAAACTAGATCAGAAAAAAATTATTATTGAAATTCACCGAGTAGGCCGTGGGAGCAAAATGAAAGCCAAAAAATGACTTTCTATTATATCACTAGAAAGGAATGGTTATGATGAAAAGTACAGGCAAGAAGAAGTTGTATGTTCCTATTTAAGTTATGGACCTACAGAGTATTGTTTTTTCCCCAATTTTTCCAATATTTTTTTGGCGGCTTTTTATAACGCCGACGAATGAAAATGAAATATCACAGTAGTAGCAACTGTTATCAAGTGACATATGGTTTCCATAGCCAACTTTTCAATTTTTGGCTTTCATTTTGCTTCCACGGCCTACTCGGTGAATTTCAATAATAATTTTTTTCTGATCTAGTTTCTGGTTAGATACCAACTTGTGATATGTCATTAGAAAGGGAATTGAAAGTTGAATGAAGCGAAAAGAAAAAAAAAATAGGGTTTCCATTTAAAATAAGAAAGTTGATGTTACTTCCGGTCAGACCGGAAGTTAACTTCAACATGTCAATATGCTCAAATTCTAGCTCTTATGTCATCATATCGACGCTCCAAATTTCACAAACCTACTTCATACAATAACTGAGATATTCCGTTGGCAATAATTCCGTAGCCACCCGGTATAGAATAATTTTACTTCAGCATATCACTTGAAATAGTTATTTTTGTATCTAGAATGCAAAATGATACTTTTGCGTTCAAGAATGGGAGTTATTTTGCCGGCAAGTTGCCAGTTAGATTTTTGTTCCATCAGTAAAATTTCAGTAGATTTCATTAGATCTGTATGAGAAATATTTTATGCTATACGAATTCCAAAGAAGGATAATGAAATAAACCTATGACGTCAAAACATTACGTACTTTTTGTAAACAGAAGAGTAACCTATTTCCAACAAACAAAACAAACATTCTCATACAAAAATAATGATATTCCTAATTTCCAAGTCAAAAATACTCACAAATATCATAAAATACAGCTACATAGGTACTTATAACATTTGAGTATATAAAAAACAGGAACAAATAGTAAAACTGAACAAAAATACAAAACAAATAAAAAAATTGACCGGAAGAAACAAACTGTTATAACAGAGGTATATGAAAAATTGAATTTGATCTGAATCAGATGAAGTATTGTCCTTTGTTTTATATTATATATATCATTAATACCTACATGTACAGGGTGATTCACCATAAATGTTCCCCCTCTAGCTCAGTTATTTTCAAACTGATTTCAAAATTTGAAATATCATCTTGAATGATTTTCGAGACAAAAAATCCTAAACTTGAAAAATCTCGATTCTGAACACCCTATATCTCTGTAATCATTCCCGCTAGACTCCAAGTGTGATACATTGATGAAATCAGCTCTTCAGCAAGAATCTAAAAATACAATGAAATACAGGATGTTCCATTCGAAAAAATTAAGTAGTACTCTGTAGATCATTTGTTCCGAACACCCTGTATTTTCTGATGCAACGGGAAAAAAAATCTGAAACATATTTAAGATTATTTTTCAAATCTTTAAATCGGTTCAAAAATAAATGAGATAGAGGGGGGTACATTTATGGTGAATCACCCTGTGTATTTATTACTTGAATTGTAAAATTAATTTGAACAGAGCGTGCCAAAATATCATGCAATTTATAAGTGTATGTGATTAACTAAGGAATACTAATTTTATAGGTAATTACAAAAATAAATAAGTGTCAAAATATTTTTCAATACATCAAAAATAAATAAGTGTCAAAATATTTTTCAATACATTGATTATGAAATATTTCAGTAGATCCATAAGCAAATCAGGAGATATACTGATAATTCAGTAAAACTGGCAACCCTGCAGAGGACAAAAAGTGTCAACGAAAAGTACTTCGGAAATAGTCGGTTTTTGGAAATAAGAATGCAATAAGCGAATTTTTGGAAAATAAGCATATGGCCACTTGTCGGTGTTCTTGAAAGCTGTCAAAGCGGACTGTTTACTTCGTTTTGTTTGTTTCTTTGGTTCACATTTGTTTTTTGTTTGTCCTTATTGGTCACATCATCAAGACAATCCGCTCAAAAGTGTTCGAGTTGTTACCGTCAGATGGCATGAAAAAATATTCTGGCACTATTCACAGAAATAGTGATAGCATTTCTATGGAATTTATAATGAAAAAAACTCCTGTATTTACCAATGTGCTAACACATTTCTTTTTTTTTTTCAGGGATGTTGAAATTGGAGATGTTGTCACCATTGGAGAATGCAGACCTTTATCTAAAACTGTTAGATTTAATGTATTGAAAGTTACAAAGGGAAGCAGCTCGAAGAAGAGCTTCAGAAAGTTCTAAGTTTTTTTTAAATATATGACTCTAAGTTGAATTTGATGGTTTTATTGGCCGCCCTCCAACATTTTACCTATTTTGTGAGCCATAGCAAAGAAGGCATTTGGAATGCATTCCTCATGGAGCATAGTTAATTATTATCAGATGACTACTCATAACAAAATTAATTAGACCGGCAGGTAGCGACAGATTTTCGGACGTGATTTGACCCAGTATGCCCTTTGGACGGTATCGGTATGTATATTTTTTGATGTTAAAAAATTATATATGAAAGAATCCTCTCTTCCGGGGTTCCTAATGCATTATGTAGGTGTGTTCCAAGGTTTAGGTGTATTTGGACATACTTTTATTCCGGAGCATATGTAAAGCACAAACGTACTTCTTAAAGGCACCCTGTTTGAAAACGGGAAAAACACTTCAACATGAAAATATAGATATAATAAAACCCTTCAGAAGGCATACTAGGTCAAAAATCACATCCGAAAATCTGGTTGTGCTTGGTTACTACCTGCCGGTCTAAATAATGAAAAACTAAAATGAATAATATCAGAAAAATGATATAAAAAATGGATTTGTAGACATTAAACCATGTATGTAAAAAACAAAGAAATATCGGTATACTTCTGCGACGCCACTGGATTTATTATTTCAAATCTAATTACACTAAAAGAAGCACCATGTTAACTATCATCAGGATATATCAAGATTAATCGAAATTTAGAAGAATACTTTGGATAGTTTGGATTAATTATTAAGGAACGATTGTATAGAAAACGAAGCAAGTTTAGGATCACTCAAAACTAGTATCTAATCGTGCTAGGCAGCTAGTGGTCATATTCCCTGCAACCCGAAAATCTAATCTGGGAGAGTCGATGCTCGAATTATAAACATCTCAGCTCAATGCATATAAGTCCATTATTGCTTCATATTTTCTTCATATTGTACCAGTATTTCACCTGATGACGCTAGTGTGTTAGCAGAATATGTCGTGATTATCGTGTGATTAAGAATGTTGTTGAAATCGTTTCGTTTGTGAAGTTTTTACATTTGCCATGGATTTCCATCAAGAATACAAAATAAGTAATATAAGTATATGACAGGTCCAGAAATCCTGAATGCTCATTCTACTTTTTCCACTAGATGGTAATCTGTGACGAGTGAAAATAAAATGTAAATGGCATTATTGGCATTATAGGTATGCGGAACATATGTAAAAGTGGGTTAATTTCACTCGGAATTCGAAAAATCTGATTAGCGTCTGCGGACAGGTGCAAGTAATAACTCCGTGGTGGGAGAACGTTATAGTGGGCAGTAGATGCGACTGGCGTTATGCGGCGCCGACTGAATGACTTCATCATACTTCGTCTCGTAAGCAACTGGTTGGCTCAGTAAGCAGAGCATCGGCATGCCAAGCCGGCGGGCCGGGGTTCGAATCCGTGCGAGGCTTATGTTTTTTTTATTTTTTTCTTGTTCTCAAGTGATTTCTAAAAAATATTCTCTATGGGAAATAGGTTCATTTAGGGGTTTTCTATGTTTAGGCCAGAGGTGAGGTTCGGTTAGGTTAGGTTAGAATAGAATAGAATATTTTATTTGGTGTTAATACAAGTACAGATATACTCATAAATAGTATATGTACCGCCGAAGCGAGTACATATACTAAAAATGTGGAACGCTTTACGATTTTGCGTGTCATCCTTGCGCAGGGGCCATGCTAATCTTCTCTGTATCGTTCCAATTTTTAGTATATGTACCGCCTTCTCATTTTTTATGCAGAAACAATATTTTCCTTCCTCAAGAAAAATTCTCCTTCTTCAAGAAAAAAGGTTCATCTAGGTCGATTGATTGTTAAAAAAAATGCCTTCCTTATATTAGACTCGACACAAGTTAACTAACGTTCCCCTACCACGGAGTTATTACTTGCATCTGTCCGCAGACGCTAGTAAAATCTGCGGCACTTTCGGAATTGACAAATGCACAGCCGTCTTCAATTTGAAGACGGCTGTGACAACTGACAAATGTCATAATTGTGCAGTTTTGCCATCTATTGGGAGATCGCTGAAACCATTGTTCTCGAGAGGTCGAGAAGAATTTCTCATTTCGTAGTTAATACCTGTAGCTGCCTGTAGTTAATACCATTATGGCTTACAGAAATCCATAAATATTTATTCCTCAGAGAAAATTGGTTTGATAACTATATCATAGAGGGCAGAGTAATATATCATCTGCTACAGTGACTCTATACAAAAAAAAGGTAATTTTGCACGTATCATGCGATGGGGTTTTTTTCGAAAATTTTTTTTGGTACTTACGTATTTCTGTCTGAAAAACACGAATTTGATAATGAAAATGTGAACAAACCATTATTTATTGAGATATTTCACTATAAAGTTACAAATTTCACCTTCTTTTCCGGCTGTCTTTGGGGCGCATTTAGAACAATTTGCCCTTCTTTTTCCATCATTGGACAATTTATATATATCACACAATGTTGCACTTATTTTTTATTATATGAGTCAACTAGAAATATGATTTTCTTGTGATTTATCCATGTTTAGTGAAAAGAAGGAAGAATATCATTTGAAATAATGGCGTGTGTGATGTCATTCCAAAGCAATCTATTGACATTTGACATCTCCTATTTGGATTACCCATCGATTAAATGGCGGTCATCTGGTATGCTTGCTCACTAAATAGGAAAAACTCACCATAAAAATCATATTTCCTGTTGAATTTTCTAGCTTAAAATGTGTCATTGAAGTACATCATGAGTAAGATATCATGAGTATATGAAGTGTCCAATGACAAAATAAAAAGAGCAAGTACCTGTAAATGCATCCAACACAAGGGGAAAAACAAGGCAAAATTTCTAACTTTTTCTTGAAATATCTCGATAAATAGTGGTTTGTTCACATTTTCAATATCAAATTCGTGTTTTTCAGACAAAAATACGTAAGTACCAAAAAAAATTTTCGAAAAAAAAACCCATCGCATGATAAGTGCAAAATTACCAAAAAAAATATTTTGAAAAATCCAGGAAAATCTGTAAATTAGATTATATTTCATTACCCTCTCTCGGCTCAACAGTGCATTTTCTTATGGAGATAAGTTGATTTCAGTCAGTCAATTTTGGTGTCTGTAGAATTTATGGTACATTGTTCTGGGACACCTGATGATCCAAAATAGGTTGAGGTTCTATTTATAACTTTGATTATATATTGTGTCTGATGGTGGAATAATTTTCTTCATTTGCTTTTTCACGGAATTTCTTTCAAAGAACATAATTATGGTTTAGCAAATCAATTTTATAGTCACTGTAGTTCTAACTCTTGTAGACGGCCATCGGCCATCTGTTTCATGATATTGAAATTTTCTTCTGAGACATGGACATCTATACTAGCCTGTATCAGAGATAGCCTGTGTATATAATGCTCATATGATTTATGAATATTGAATAGCGAGCGATGTCAGGTGTGGAAAGTTTTATGGAAAATTGATAAAGCAAATTGCCAAAACTCAGTTTCCATTATAAAATTAGGTGATAGCGTTTCTCAATTACCATGCAAATACCAGTTTTTACTACTGGGAGTTACTTGGTGCCACTCGCTTTTGGAAAGCTGGCTCAAAAGTTCACTCTCGCAAATGAATGAGCCTTACGGCACATCGCACTTTTGCGACAAAAGTGTCACAGCTAAAACATCTCCTAGTTTGAGTTAAAACCACTAGCCACTAGCCGGTCCAAGACACCTCAATCCATCAACCATCAAAATTGTATTATGTATTTCATGATGGCTCGCGAGATGGCGTTTGTGTCATTTTGACGGTTTTGACGATTCAGTACCGGTTGATACCGGATCGGCAGAAATGTCGCATTTTTAGTTCAACCATGTTGAACCCTTGCCTCCGTACAGGAAACATCTGGCAATTATTTTCAAAAGTGTTATATTTTGAGTTATGCGCCGTTTCTGCTGATCCATGTGGAAATGTACGTTTGATGTGTAATATTTCGAGTTGGTACAGTTTGATTGATCGATTCCGGTTTTGTGTCATTTTGAAGGATATAATATTGACAACAACACTACCAATAGATACATGCAGAAATAACAAAAAAAGCTATCAAAAAATCTATGAGATGCCAGTCAATGATTTGAAACAGGAAGGTTTGAATATAAAAGCACAGCATGCTGTGATAAAAGGTAGTTCCATGCTATAGAGTTTTCAGATGTCTGCTGATAATAACTATAAATGATACTTACTTGTGATATATGGAATGAAATGACTCCAAAATTGACAAAATTCTACAGAGAATGTATTCTTCCAGAGATCATTGATGCCAGGGTACCAAGAGGAATGAAAATTTCAGAATGTACATACATATAATAATTACTTACTAATACCCTTATTATAACATTTTTATTAATTGAATAAAAATAATATGAAATGCCAATGAATGAGCCTATATTTTCAGAAAAAAACCCTGTATACCTGAATCGCTAATATAAAAGTTCTCAGGCTTAGCCAAAGTATCTGGTTTTGCAGACTAGAATAAATAATAATTTTAGAAATTATCGCTCTGATTATGCAAATCAGTTTCTATACCTGACATCACCTCTTCGGAGGGTCAGTTGTACCCTATGGTTGTACCTCTGTTGCCGATTGTGGGAATGTGGGAGGAGCTTAACACTTCAAAATGTGATTATTCATATTGTCTATACAATCGCCATCTGGCGGAATTCAGTTGTCATGAGATGGTGTGGAACAGCTTTAAAGGTAAAATGGAATAAAATGAAAGTTCTTATAGTTCAGAAGGATTCTCCTCACAACTTTTTTATACATCATTTGATGTTGATGAGTACATAGTTTAGATCGATTGCCATGGTTGAGAGAAGAAGATCTAAAAAAAATAAAAATGAATTTTGAATCGATTCATCCAACTCCAGCATTTATGCGAATAACTTATTGCCATTTAAGAGATTTGCAAGAATTGATGAACAAAAATTGTATACCGAGATATCTTGTTTTACAATCTCCTTTTATGAAAACATCTTGGTTGGAAGTTGCTAACTGCTATTCTTCATTCAGTTTGGATTTTCTTAACCAAAGATTGGT